AGGTACACAAAGGTCTCCACTCGTTGGAGCGGTCGGAAGCCCGGGACAACAACCGGGGTGTCAGGGACCTGTGGTGACTGTAGATACCGAGTTTTCTCAACTGCAAGCGCGAGCCCTACGCTTCTCAGTTCCTCGATCAGATCACTCGTCATTCTAGCTAATTGCTGCGGGGAGGTAGCAAGCAGGAGTATATCATCAGCGTACACAATAGCGTACAACCTGTGCTCCCCAGTGGAGTCCCTGACCCAGGTGTCCTCAGTTCGAGACCACTTCACATGGAGTCTGGCCATGGCAGCATCAAGCACCCTCGCAAAGATTTCAGCCCCATACGGGGAGCCTTGCAGAATTCCCCTGGACAGTTTTTGGGCCCACCTCGTGCCCGCGAAACTCACCCTCACGGATGTATGAGTGATTATTTCAAGCAGTCTTCTGGCTTCCACGGTTGGAGCAGAGCAGCCCAGATAGGCTGCAACACTTTCATGACTAAGTGTGTCGAAGGCCTGACTCACATCAAGTTTCGCCAGTACAAGGGGCAGTTTCCACTCCGCAGAGAGGTTCATAATGTGCTTCGCAGCACAGACAGCATCCATCACCTGAGCCCCTTCCTGGCCTAGGACCTGTCCTCCTGCCAGTGGGGGAAATGTGGGCCTCAATCTGACCAAGAGTATACGGGTAAACAGCTTGTACGCAACTGGGGACAGGACGATCGGCCTCAGATGCGAAGGGAGCGTCGGAACTTTAATTTTGGGCAGGAGTGTCATATGCGCTTCCAGCCAACCCTGTGGGTACGGTTCCTCTCCTGTCAGGTAACTGTTGAGGGAGGCAACCAGACTAGGTGCCAAATCTGTCTGGACAACAACCTTGAGGAGCTCATACGTAACAGCATCATCACCTGTGCTTTTTCCATTCTTGAATGACTCCAGGTGCAGCTTGACCTCATCAAGCGTAATAGGGACGGGAGGCGGGGGGGAGGGGTGTCTGGTTTGCAGCATGTTCATGGGCAGGTGAGGGACAGGTAGGTCAGGGGGTGTGAACTTATTATGGAAGTGGGCCTTGAGAGCGGAGATGGCTTCCGGAGCCCCGCCCAATCTTGCAGAAAAGAGTCCATGCGTGACCCTTGTGGATTGTCTCTTCCTGAAATATGAGATAGCCACATAGTCACCATTGGCTGCTCTTTCAAGCAGGTCCGTGCGCCACCGGCGCTTGGCCTCACCTCTGGCCACCACCACCTGTCTACCAAGGTCATTGCGCTCCTCCGGGTCTTGTGCCTCTTTTCGTAGGGAGATGATCCTACGAACCTCTGGAGGATCTTGGTACCTACACGAGGCAGCCCGTTTAGAGCAGGCTTGGGCAAGCTCAGCAAGGTCCGAGGCCTGGAGGCCTCTCCCCTCAGTTTGAAGCACCTCTGCCAGGCGCTTCGCCCCACCTACCGCCCGAGTTACATCAAGCTGCCACTTCCCGCACAGGGAGGGGGCCCACCTTCTCTGTTTCCTCTTTTTGGAGGGGGCATTCCGAGCAAAGACAGCCATAAAGGACTCATGATCAGACCCCAAAATGAACCCCGACCGATCCTTAACCTCCCCACCAACACCAACAAGAAGTGGTTCACGGTACAGGATGTGGTCAATTGCACTCGACGCTCCTCTGCTATTGTGCCACGTAGGTTTGTCCGGAGACACAAGGGAGAGTCCAAGGTCCCTCTTCAGGAGTGCAAGCAAGACACCTCGATAGTCTTGACGCTGCTGCGAGTTCGATATGTGTTCATAGTTAAGGTCACATGCAACATAGACAGAGTCATGCACCTGAATTCCTGAAAGAGCCTCTCTAAATTCATGCATTTGCTGGGCCCACACTTGCATGCAGTCCGACCTTTGAGTGTGGGGTAGATGCAACGTGCCAATAAACTCTCGAATTCCTGCTGCCTGTAGTACTACCATCAAGCCCGTCGAAAGCACAGTAACAGAAACCAGGTCAGCCATTCTGCTGACAGGAATGGCAACCGCTGAACCTCGGAAGCTAGCAGCTGGTTGCGCACAAAAGACACTGTAGTCCACCTGACCGAATCGGCGTTCCTCCAGGGTCCACCCATCTGGGCCGACTGCCGGAAGGCCCCCCAACTCCTGGACACCGAAAAAATCAACCTTTCCAAACCCCAACATGTCCCAGGCTGTCTCCAAGTCACCAAGGTTCTTCCCTTGTAAGTTCCAGGAGAAGAAACTGGTTTCATGAGGAGGGAGAAGGGTGGTTGTCTGACTGCTGTGTGAGAGTCAAGATTTCCCCTGGGGGAGCAGATCTGACCAAAGCTGCGGGAGCTCATGTGGCTGAACTCCTGCAAGTTGTGAGAAGGCATTGGTCGAAACCAGCCATCCCGTACAGGTGCCCCGAAAGTCCGTCAGAGAGACATCATGTTCATGTTGGGGGTAAAGGCGGAATTCCCTTGGGGTATCAGGAGCAACCAGCAGTTGAACCTTCCCAACATAAACCCTCCCCCGCCAATCAAATTCCGCAGGCGGCAGTGCTTTAGCGGGATATTGCTTTCTGTACGCCTCGACAAAGTCCTTACACTGCAATATCGCCCGGATTTTATGCCTTTCTTCAACACTACGGTGTCTAGAAATCCACAGAAAACCACCTTGACTACCTGGAACCGAACTCGTCCATTTGTCTTGCTTGAGCCTGTCAAGGGCCTGCAGCTGAAAGCGGCGCTTGTCCGGGAGCGAGAGGCAGTGTGCCGGAAATCGAAGAGAGACCCGTACAAAATTGGTGCGTGCGCCTGGGCACCACAGCTCTTTAATGTCCTCATGAAGACCACATTCATGAAAAAGAGATCTGGTCTCCTTTTCCGCAGCCCATCGCGGGGCCTCCTTCCAAGCCCCCACAACAATCTGAAGGTCCATTTCAGCATCCCTAGGATTAGTTGAGGATCGAGGTGTATGGGGCTGGTTAGCCGACACTCGAACCTGACTCTGAATCTCCTTGACACGTTGCTCAAGATAGCTAAGCTCTCTGATTTGGGCTTCCAGATCCCTCAGCTGGTCCTGAGTTATCATGTTTTGCGTGACAGACTCCAGATTCTGGAGGCGTTGTGAGGCCTGGGCATTGAAGCGTTCATGCTCCTGGAGCATAGACTGGAGGCTGTCCAGTCTTTGCGAGTGAGTTCCCAACTCCCGCCCCAGGCTTTCCACTGAGGCAGCAATGCTGTCTTGTTTGAGGTGCATCGACTGCATGCTTTGTTGCAAGGACACTACCCAGGGGGGGGAAGTGTTCTCTGAGATGACCGCATGAGTTGTAGGTTTGGGAAGCATAGGGGAGACTACAAGCCCCGGGCCGGCCCCCCTGAACAAAGAGGGTGGCGCATCAGTTCCCTGGTGTTCATCCCTGACACGATCATCTCTAGTAAGGTCATATACAGGCGGGGCCCCGAAGTCAGGGAGGGTTCGCGGTCGTTTTGCTTCAGGAGGAACAGCCCCACCCCCGGATGGCGTCACCCTGAGCGCCTCAGCCAATGCAGCAACCGAAGCAGCAGAGGCATGTGTCTCATCATGTAGATGCATTAGCGGACGCGCCCCCCCAGTCACCCCATTGCCAGCAGTGTTTCCTTGCCCCGACATGCTCACTTGCAGCGCTCTCACAGTTTCCCCCAGCCCACCCGCCCCATCTGAATTCACGTCATTCCTAAATTCAGGAGCATGCACAGGCGCATGCACATGCACAGGCGGTTTAGAACAGGCGTGCAACAACTCCACCTCCGTCCCAGCAACCCCAACATCCAGCATGTCTTCCCCCGGGGACCAGTCTGGCAGCGTCCTCCCCTGAGTACCCTCAGCCGGCGGGGGAGGCTCCCACGGCACCGTTGTGCCATCAGACGTCTGAGAATGCATCTCTCCGAAATATCCGCCCCCTCTCCGTCCACCCCGGCCAGTCCCAGCTCCCTTGCAGACCTCGGCCTCTTCGGACCCCCCCCCCCCAGAAGCTCAATCGTCAGGCCGACAGGTAAGCGGTTTAGGGCTGAGGGTTCATTGATTAAGCATGAGGTCGTGCCCAGGGACTCGGCGGGTTTTGGGTTTCGGGCTGGTTTGGGGTTTGGGGTTTGGGGTTTGGGGTTTGGCTTTCGGTTTAGGGTTTAGGGTTCAGGGGTTGGGGGTTTTTAACTTTCGGGGCTCTCTGAAAATTTTCTGACCCCCCACTGAATCCCGATGGTGCCCTCGGGTTTCAGGGCTCAGGGTGCATCCCCTACAGCTTTGGCCCTAGGTGTTGGACCTCGCCGATGGGACTTCAGAGTTTTCCAGAATAGGGCGATCCCCGAAAAGGCAACCTTTGTTTGTCTTGAGTCCTTGAGCCAAAATGGCTTGAGCCAAAATGGCTTGAGCCAAAATGGTTTAGGGTTTAGGGTTTAGGGTTACCAAACTTAATCCAGCCTGGTAATACAGGGGCCGGAAAAATCACGAATAGTATTCCCTTGTGGTCCCTTTGTAATTTATATTAAAACAGCTCTAATTATTAAGGCCCCCGTATAACGTCGTTCCTGTCTCCAAGACTGCCTGGACTGGCCCAAAGATGGCACAAGCTCTTTCTTTTACTTTTCGACAACAGCTCAACGGTAGCTAAAAGCGCAGACTGTCCCACTGAATCATCGAGCTGTCTTGGTTAAAGCTTTCATCTTTTCGTAGCGTTCTCAATCTTATCTGGAGCACTTCGCGTAAAATTGGGGTGATCTTCATTCCAAAACACTTTGAACTTAATGGAGGTCCTATGTGCAATCACCATGTGACGCCGACGAAGTTTTTGTTGACGATGCAAAGCAAACAGGTGACTGAGAAAAATCCTCCGATGCTGAAGTCAAAGCTCTCCGTTTCTGGTTTTATTGGGCGTCTTGCTGTGTAACGAAGTTCTCACATTAGAAGGGCCCATCGAGGTTGATCAAGGACTCAGGCATCTAAAGGGCTGGAAAGGCACTGGAGGGGTACTGGCTTTCCCGGCGAGAGTTGCAGTCGAGACTCGCGCGCGCTCCTCGTTCCTTTCACTTGCAGTCCCCAGTTCAGTTAGGCTGTCCTCCAGTTTCCGACGCTCGTCTGATAGCACGGACAGCTTGCTATCCAGCTTTTGGCATTTGCTTTCCATGCGGTGGAATTGGATGGCACCCCTGAAGGAGCTTTGCAGCCAACGCTTCTCCATGGCGTTCGACTGACCGACCATGTAGTACAAACCAATGCCGGCAACCGCGCAGAGAAAAAAGTCTAGCAGCCAGCTGTAACCAGATGAAGCCGCTTCATGAATCCTTTGGGACACTTCGGGCAAACCAGAAACTATGCGAAGTATATGGGACAACTCCACATCGTCAAAGCCGTCGCCCTCGTTGTCCACTCGGCCAAATAGCTTCACGACTTGATCCTGGACAGGTCCTACTTATAGTCCTAGCTGCGAGCGCTTGTGTGAGTTACATCAGCGTGCTCAAGGCTTCCATCCGCGTCCACATGCCCGCCCCCAAAACCTTGAATCATGCGGGGAGATCACTGTCCGGGCCTGGCCGACGTCCACTCCGTTCGCTTGCAGAAGCGAGGCCAGTTCCTGCCAAGCGCTGCAGCGGCACGCGTGCGATCGCGTGCGCAATCGCAAGCTGTCCTTCGATGAAAGGTGCTGATCATGTCCAACATCGAAGGCTGCTATGAGGTCTACTGTTCTGCGACGTTCTTGCACCTCAAGGGATGGCTCCGAAGGTTAGATTGCGAGTGCATGTGCCCGTCACTGCCCCTGTCACAAGTTCACTAAGGCACAGGCCTGATGCCAAACTGCACGGGCAACACACGCCCCGAAGATTGCAAATGCTGCAGCGTTGCGTGGTTTCTTGATGCCCCGAGACACCTCAGTGTGCCCGGCCCTGGCAACTGGAGCTATGTTGCGAATCCTAGCCTGTCCTCCCGTTAGCCTCTCTGAGATCGGGGCAGTCTTTGACATACTTCTATGGCTCTTGGAAGGTGATACTGGCTCCTCATTTTCAGCACCTTCCTTCACGATCGTCGTTAATGGCCTGCTTCTCCTCTTCAGAGGCGATGTTGGGGTCGAGTCCGTCGGCGCACTTTCCATCCCTAAGAACTTGGGTATCGTCACCATCACTTTGAACGGAATTGGCTGTCCGGACATTGCATCCCACAGCGACACAGCTTCACTGTGGCGACCCATGCTGATCCCATGCTGCATCTGCCCTACCCGCCGAGGCGCAACATGAAGCAAATTAACGCTGGGCACCAAGTAGAAGCTAGTGACTAGTGACTAGTGCTTCCAACCGTTAGTTGGGCCTCCGCCTCCTCGAACCGCTTCAACCAGCGATCGCACTCGGCGATGGCGGTTTGGCAAACCGCGATCTGCCGCATTCCATGCGTCGCTACTGCAAACGGTAGACATGTGGAGCAAAGCTCACGATGCCTCGTTGTTGCGGGAGAGGCGGAAGTTGCAGTTGTACCAGAACCGTTCAACATAGACCTCGGACTACTCGCAGACTCCGAACCATCTGCACCACATCGACACACGACCAGATATAAACCCACGTGACTGCCACAAAGCAACCACGCGAAAAAAGCGCAGCGTCGATTCTGCCGACGAGACGAACGTGTCACGGAGTAGACACTTACATCCTAGAGAGGCGTAGAATCGGCGTAGAAGCAGCTATAAAGATGGAGAGATCTTAGAGTCTTGGAGCCTTGCAGATAAGATGGCTCCAATGTATGAAGGACACGCCTGAGAAGAGAAACAGAACATGACATCTGCAAAGTACTCCCCATCATATTAAACCCCGCCCTCACGGAAATATTTGTTTGGCCACCGGCTGCCCAAACGCAGCCCGGAAACGTGCAAAGCAGAGCCTCCGGAGAATCTAAAACCCCACATGAAAGGAGAGAGAGCGAGAGAGAGAAAGAGCGAGAGAGAGAGAGAGAGAGAGAGAGAGAGAGAGATAGAGGCTACTTGAACAGCTGATTCGGAAAGCGGCAAATGCGAGAAAACCGAGAGAGACAGCATGCACCTCTACTCCTGCGCACTCGGCACCAAAAACCTTTCTTGCATCAAGGACCGGGTCTAGGGCTTAGGGTTTAGGGGTTTTTTTTGGCGCCCAACTAGCCACAGCACAGCGGTTTAGGGTTTAGGGTTTTTTTTTTTTTGGTTTAGGGTTTAGGGTTTAGGGTTTAGGGTTTGGGGTTTGGGGTTTGGGTTTTGGGGTTTGGGGTTTGGGGTTTAGGGTTTGCTCGGCTGGTTTAGGGTTTGGGGTAAGCCTAGGGTGAGATGCTCGCACGGATTCGGAACCCTGCTTTCTCACGTCGATACGTTCGTTGGCGTCGAGGAGCTGAGCTCCAACTGAATATTAACAATCCGCATAATAATCACACAAATCATATCAGTCATATCAACCATAAAAACCATAAAATGATAATGATAATGATAGTACTAATAATCATAACAATAACACTAATAACAACAATAATAATAATAATAATGATACTAATCATAATAATTAAAAAGTAAAATAACATTAACAATAATAATCATAATAATAATAACAATAATAATAAACTGAGCTCCAACTGAGTCCCTAGCAGCATCCAGGAGAAACGAATCAGTGCCACCGCAGCAGTAGAAGCGGAGCACGTGGACCATCTCGCACGCGCGCGCGGGTATAGGCCAAAGACTGTCGACGGTTGCCCCACAAGCAAGCCATAGCCACAAACAATGCAAAAGACATGGCCTTCTCCAGTTCGGACTTCTCCTCCCATTCGTCTGACTCGCGTGGCGACAGAATTCCTGCGTGCCAACCCCAACTTGATGAGAGCACATGGCACAACAACTAGTTCTCGCAGCTGAGGCGAGTGAAGCAGGTCCATCGTTCAGGCTGAAGACAAACGACATTGGCGCCGTGGACAGGCCAACGTCCTCTTTACCCAGATCAGCATCCAAGTATCGGAGCTTGTGAAACTCTGCGGGTCTTAGCTCGTGCTTCGTACGTATCTCGTCGCATCTCCTCGAGGCAGCTCTCCTTCACGCCTGCAAAATCGTCCTGCATCGAGGAACACTGGTATGTGCACTGTATGGACAAAGAACGGAGGAGCAAAAACGATCACTGCACGTTGACACACCATGCGGGCCTCATCTTCATCCACCGGCACGAATGACATGCGCGCGGCGGACTCACAGGAGCTCAACAGGGAATCTTGGAGGTGCTGATTTTATGCTCGTCACGGGTTTTCAGGCTGTTCCATTTGCCAAAGGCTTGGGAAGGTCTGGGTCTTGCTACCGGCGACACCACGCAGTGCTTTCCAGTCTCGTCCCGACCCTTCGGTCATTGCCTGCCTCGGACAGCTCCCCCTGCAGCCACTGTGGCCTCGAAGCTTCGATTCGATCTCGCCTCTGTACCAAATCTCCTACAAGCACCAGGCACCGCACACGAAGCCATACTGCTCCAGGTAGCCACCGGCATGGGGCGTGGGCCTCAAATACAGAGACGTGAGCATCAAATCCAGCGAGCAGATGTCAGCAGCTTCAGAGTGTGTGGCAGGTAGGCGGCGGTGAGCTCCATTCCAGCCTCTCGGCTGTTTCACTTTCGTTCACTCTTTCCGTCTCTTTTCACAAGTTGCGGGAACTCGGCACGAGAAGGCTTCAAGAGCCTCAATGTCCTCGATGGCCACCAGGTTGATGCCCATCTTAGGGCAGATCAAATTAAGGCTTCATGGGCTTCATTGCCCTACACCTACACCCCCGTGCTTGAGAGGCGAATATCGAAACTGGGCAGGGCACGAAGCGCTCTGGGCCGGAGCCGCCGAGGCCCATCACTGCGCCCTCCTGTGACACATAGGCAAAGGCTTCACCTCGACACATGGCAGATGCCCCACACCTTGGCATAGTAAGGCTTCAACTCCACCACCGACTCCTCTGCTGCCTTTCGAGTACGAGCGGCAAGGAAAGCATTGAGGACACATCATGGAGGGCAGAAGAGCCCGAGCGTCTGAAAAGCAAATGGCGACATCACCTGTAGAAGATCGACGCCGGCGACCAGCAGAGGCCTACTTTGAGCAGATGTCACTACAGCAACAGCTTGTAAACCGAGGCTGATGTTCGCCACACCTTCCATCGCGATCCTCGCAGATAGATCTAGACCTGAAGATCAGTCGCATATCAACACGCACGATGTCGGTCCCCATCTCCCAACCCCATGCCCTTTTTGTGGGAGCGGCATGGTCAAAGCCAAGGTATCCGTCCACTCCTGCTGTACTCGACAGCTAACTCTCAAGCGATGCCTGGCTTTACAGGCTGTACACCAGCCTCAATGGTGGCGCTCCCTTGAAGCTGCTTCATGTCATCCCTAACCTCCAGCGCTTGCATCATGTTGCATCACTAGGACGAAGCTTGCCATCAATCTCATTCTACTTGGGCACTCTGATTGCCTGAAAGGCCATGCCGGACATCTGGCCGCCGCAGGTTGTGCAGCTCCTTCAAGAGTCTGAAGGCTGGAGGTCACAAAGTGACTCACCAGAAGGATCCGATGCGTCAATGAGGCAGTCGCCCACAGACGGCGTGACGCAGTGTGACATAGCGCGACGTGCAAACGAACAACCTCAGCAGACCCGGTCCAAAGATACTTCGCCAGCTGCGGATCGGTCAGCAGCAGCTTCAACCTTGAAAGCAGCTTGGGCACTACTCAGGGGATTGCTTTCGTGGAACTCCCAGGTCGGAAGGGCGAGCAGGGCGATCCGTTCCTACTCTGCAGCCCTCCGTGTGGTCACGGCGGGTGTGTTTCCGGAGCACTGACGCCGGTCTCGTACCAGTCCTTCCACGCACTTGGCCTTGGATCAAGTGACATGCACATGCACGTGACACTCACAGGGGTGCTGAAAAACGGTAATGGTGCAGTTGACTGCGAGCGGCCACATGCTGTACCCTTCTTACATCACCTTCACCAGCGTGAAAAGTGCAGCAACCGATTTCTTCCATGAAGAAGCCAGTGTCGCCCGAATGGTTGGCAGCATACGGTGATGCCGTGAGACTCGCATATGTTACATGAGCACTTTCTCAGCACAGGCCCACCCTGTCTGGCATGTCCAAGGGAACGTAGCCAAAGCGTTGTCTAAGTGCCGAGATGTGTCGAGAATTGTCAAGCAGTTCTGTGTGTGGCAGTCGTAAGCTCTGTCAGCTTCTGGACGGCTTCGGAACGTTCTGGAGGCGATGTCCCACTCCGCAGCTGCTCAAAGGCAAGCAAATTTTGTACCTCTGCTGTCCGGGCATGCGAGCACAATGGGCTATCAGCTATCCTGATCTGAAAGGCTGCTTCTTGCACGCTGCAATCCGCAGCTGCAGCCAAGATGCGGCAGTAAAGAACCTGCAGCCAAGTAAAGACTTTCCCCTATGGTTTAGGGTTTTGTTTTTAAGGGTTTCGGGTTTAGGGTTGCGGGTTTCGGGTTTAGGGTTTAGGGTTTAGGGTTTAGGGTTTATGGACCATGGTTCACATCCCTCCTGCCTCGTTTTTTTTAATGGAAGCCTAGCGAGACTCTTGAGAACAGCGCCCTTGGACGCAATGTGCCCTCACTTTGCACTGTCTTCTCTTCGGCTTCTACAGACATACAAAGCTGCAGTTCTTGGATGCAACTCTCTTCAAACACCCCCTCTAAATCATAACTTGCCTACCTATCATCCTTGTGGCTCAAATCTTCAATCCCAGTCCGGCAAGCAGTCGCCACACAAGAGCAACCTTTGTTCAGGATGAAACGATTTCCTTCGTCGCATCTGTAAGTGATGGTTGCAAGATATTGCAATACAATACATTGCCATGACAATCATTGCACAACTCTCGCAAGACTTGCAGGGCTTGCAATTCGAAATTAGAAGCCCGCCCCCCGGACTCTAACAGCCGTATCGGTTGGACTTAGTTCACCATCACAAGCGCTATCGTCAGAGTATAAAGCGAGACAGCACCTGAAAGTGCGCACAGCATCTTCTCGCAGCAAAATCCTGCACTTGAACTGAAGAGATTGGTCGCCAAGCAACGGACTCGAAGCTTCCTGCGGGAGCACAGCACCCCTCGGATACAGCGCGAGTGACAACTCTCAACTCCAAGCTGGATGCCATCTGATTGCGCTCTCCTAGCAGCCCTAGCAGCTCTAGCACCCCTAGGCTTTGCACGTGCGGGGGATTTCCAGGCTTTGCAAGTCCGAGCTGCGTTTTGGGAGATGATCTCTGTGCTGCCGTGGCCTTGGGAAAATCCGTGCTAATTCTGCCCAGGAAAAATCAGAGAGGGTAGCGTGGCTCGATGTCACCCTCGTCATCTCATCTTGCATTTGCCTTGATCCTTCAAGCTGAGGCGGAGGCCGAACGTCTGGAGTCGGCCATGGGCAAGAGCGCCGAGTTGCAGGAGTGCGGGCTCTTGCTCGGAGACCCCACCGAGTTCCTTCGTGCCACTTCTGTCCAATGTGGAAACTCCGTGGCAACTTGAAAAGCTTTCCAAACTAAGCTGGAGACCCACCCAGGCCAACGACACAGTCTTCCAGCTGCCTGGTAGCCGCTGCCTTTGTGCTGTCCGAGATGAGGATCACACAACTCGTAAGCGACAAGTACAGCAAGAGCATCATCGAACATGGCAATAAAGTGGGTATCGCAGAGTGAGTGCCGCATGGTTGCCAGCTGAGCACGGGCGGCCAAGGATGGCCTGGAAGGCGAGGAAGGCGCGGCAGCGTGCGCATCTTTGGCCTGGCACACCACCTGAACGCGCAATCTCTGCCTTTGAAAGCCCCCCTGGCCCACCCCAGTCAATCGACTCCAGTCGGACCTTGTGGGTATACAATTGGGGTGGTTTTCGTATTGGGAAGAAAAAAGCTACTGTCTACTGAGTCTTGGAAACATGCGGGAGGGCTACAATCATTTGATTTGGGCCAGACTAGACTTTGTGGTTCTTCAATCAGGAACCCTACAACAAGCTATACCTACAAGGAGAGACCCTAAAAGCCCCCCCCTTGCGATCCCTTGTGCGCCTGCAGCGCGGCAAGCTCCAGTCGCAGCTCCTCTCGCTCCAGCCTCGCCTGATCCCTCTCCAGAAGGGCGCGATCCAAAGCCTGGCGCCACTCCCTCAGGTCCTTAGTAGCCCAGTAACCATATTATAATGAGGGCACCCTGTTTGTGGTTGGTTACCATATAAGGGACCCCCAGACCCAAAAAACCGGGTAAAGGGCACCACTGGGCTACCAAGGGGCCCTCTCCATTCCCATCATTCCCATCATGCCCACAGGGCTACCGTGACCGATGGAATAGGGTGGCCCGGTGGAGTCTTCACTGCAGTTGTCCCTCAAGCGGCCAGTGCAGAACCTCGAAGCCTCTAGGCACCACTCCTGCTCCGTGGCCAGCTGCCGCTCCAGGCGCTTGACTTGCGCTTGGCTCAGTGCCCGGAGCTGCTGTGACTCGACGAGCTCCGAACGCAACTCGGCGACTTCTGCCGCCAGCTGGGCGCACTGCGTGGCGGACTGCGTGGCGGACTGTGTGGCACGCGCGGCATCGCCATCACCACGGCGCATGCCACCGCGCACGCTCGTGCACATCGTCCAGGCTTCGAAACATGCCCTCGCCAACGCCACGGCGAAGTCATCCCAGAGCACCCTGCCGGCTCCCACCCGCAATACTTCGGCGAGCATGGAAGCGACATTCGAGCAGAAGATCCTACCGCACAAACAGAGGAGGACAACACGCCAATACGCTCTATCCAACTGGTTTATGCACTGAGCAACGGAAAGTCACGAGTCGCGAGTGTTCTTCGACTGAAGACTTCATGCGCTGCAGCTTTGTGCAGGGGGAAACACCGAGGGCATCTGTACCACAACAGCCAGCCGGAAACATTCTGAAGCAGAATGTCCCGCATGTTTTTAGCATGGACGCCACAGCTGCCTATCGTAACATCGCTGAGGCTGCCGCTCCTCGGAGCGAGAGGCCTTGAGCACCTCCAAGGCTAAGCAAGGGAATGAGATGAGACCTTTAGGGAATGCTTCGAAAACACCACTTGCGCTGGGATTTTACGGCTGCTCCTTCCCTTGGTCTTCTACACTTTGCGGCGCTTGGAGGGCTGTTCTCCTGTACTCCACAACACTTGGGCAAGACCCCTCGCGCAGCTCGTCCCTTGCCCAGGTTGGCATGTGCCTACCAAGCTCTTCCACATCCCCTTCAAAGCTGTGAACCGTGGATTTATGAGGAGCGTCGATGGCCTCACCAGCAAAGCCTCGTAATCAACTTAGTGCTGCACATGTTGTCCCGGCGTGACTAGCCGACCGTGCTGGAATTCAAAGGTAAAGTCCGTTTTCAAAACATAGCAAATGTCGGCTCGCCCCCTCGTTACCCCGAGCACCACAAGGTACCACAAGCAAACTGGCCAAACCGGTGTCTCCAACCTGAATTGAGCTCCAGGTGCATGATATGCATTGGTTTGTTCTTCCCTTAAAGCATCTGATACAAGTGGCAGACCTGGAAGGCCAGCGCTGCAAAGTCTCCTCCTTCGAGCTTGTCAGACAAGGCCTTGGCTTACAATAGGCCTACATGTGCGTAGTGAAACGATGCCTCAATTGCTTGCAGCTCTCTTGACTGGCTGGCCTATCCATTGCTGACATTTAAGCCGCCAGCCTTGTCTGGTTGCATAATTGCCGTGTTGTTTAAGCGGAGTTCACATATTGTGTCGCCCTCGCTGAACCTGGCTTTAGCAGCTGGCGAATTAAGGGGCGTGACACGACACGACTGCATGAGCTGGCTTGGGCTCCGACGACGTGGTGGCAAAAAGTCCAAGTCCATCGCCGGCTCTGCTTTCCCGCACCTCGGCCACCTGCCACCCCACAATGCCCTTCTGGTACGGTCAAAAACGAGTGCTGGCATGTATGGACGCACTGCACTGCCACAGGGACCGCATGGGACCGCAAACCGCCGCAATTTGCTGCAAACATCCACAAGCCCAATCATGCCGGTCGTGCGGCAGCCAGTCCGGGACATGCTCTAGCCATCAGGGTTGCCTCGGCCACTACGCATGTACTGCGCGTCTGATCAAAGAGACCGTGCTGAGGCCAGATCCATAGACTCTGCAGTGGCAGCCCTTCGCATGATCACCGACCTTAGTCTGACGATTAAAGCCTTGGAGCTTTAATCTTTCACACATCTAGCACGCTAGGTACTGAGACACCCAATCGTGCAGAAGCTTCCGGTGAAGGAGCCGGCCGTCTTCTCGCCATCCGCCTCCGTCCTGGAACACAAACTCGAAGGCCCAGGCAATACACACGGCGCAAAATGCCGTTGTGGCGACCAATGAAGGACACATACACAGACGCACATGTTGACCTGCCAAAAGCAGGGCAGCAGACCGGGCAAAACACAACCCCGTGAGCTCGCGACAGTTCGTCTTTTGGGCGACGCCGCTAGTTCAGTTACGTTAGGGTGGGCTCGGGTGAGCTCGCTATAACTCAGCTAGAGATCAATATACTACGAGAACATCACGACCATCACCCCACAGGCGAACTGAAAATCTTTGCTCTGACATGCTTGAGTCTTCAGGAACTTGTTGCCAATGACATGCTGAAGCCCCAGTTTTGCAACACCCTTGCCTCTGGAAACAAGCAACACTGAGGTGATTCTCGATGGTTCCACGGGAGGAGATGAAATGACAATGCTGACAAAGCCACGTGTTTCCTTTGGACGTATCTTGCATCCCTAGCAACGAGGGGACCATCTGCTAAAGTGGGCAAGCAACTGTCACCTCTCCTGCGCGAACTGCGCAGACAGCAAGTGGAAGTGCCATCCATGACTGGCTGGTATGCCTTCGAGGCTGACAGTTCGAAAGGCCTTATTACGTGCTTCGCCTGAGTCAGCAGTTGCACACCGGCCTGGGCTGCCGCGAGGCTTGTGATGCATGCGCAGTAGATCTAGCGTAAGCCTGCCCACTCGAGCAAGCTTGCGACTCGGGCCAGGCCTGCACCCGAGCCAAAGTGCAGCCAACAGCGGAGTTTGTCTAAGCCTTTGACCTGTCGAGCTTCTACTGGAGCGATGGCTCGGTCAGCTTGCGTTGCACGCGCTGAGGCCTCGAATGGCACGAAACGACTTTGGCAACAAAAAAACGTGCTCTTGATCGCTCTTGCCCTCACCAGCACATTCCGAGAACGAAGCTGGCGAAGCGAACAGCAGCATTGCGGTCACACGACCCTTCCCGGCTCGAACTACATGGCAAGCTGGACAAGAAGCAGATCATGCCGGAAGCAATGCCCACCGTCACTCTCATGTTTTGTTAGATTCGCTTGACAGCCGTATTCTCACTTCCTCACGGTGCAAAGATGCAGACGGATGCATCTTTTGAGCACGCACTGCGCTGAAGGCCCAGTGACGCGGGCGTGAACCCACTTAAACGGATAAGCGTGTAGGAGGCATCACTGAATGTCATCCCATGGCCTGACAGGTACCGAGGCCAGAAACTACGCTCACAGCAGTTCACAGATTTCACATGCATAGAAGATGCTTAAACATGCTTAAGTGAGTGAGTGAGGTGAGTGAGTGAGTGAGATGGTCCGCAGATGTTATTGCGGCCTACGGCATCTCCCCCCCCCCCCATATCGCAGAGCAGCTCCGAAAACGTCATCGTCCCTCTCCACGAAGGGTGCTAGATGGCGGGCACCGCATCCTTGAAATGGGGTGCTGTAAGCTTACGCCGAAGGACTAGGAGCCCTGAGAAGGCCAAGATGAGGGGGGGGGCCCTGGGAGGCCGAGATGTACGCTGATGGGTCCGGGGCCCTGGAAGGTCAGGATGGGGGCACGCAACACACGGCACGACACCTTGAGAACACTCCTTGGGGCACCGGACATCCCACACAGTAGCCAACGTCTCAGTGCTGGTGGCTGACATGGGAGGACCAATTAGGCGGAAGGACTGGGGGGAGCTCGAAGGAGCGAGTTGACTGCCCATGTTTTTCTCGCGGCCTCAGGCTTGCGAAAAGTCCTGCCGGAGTCCGAGCTGGCACACTTCGCACACTTCAGATTAGAAGAGATCTGGGAAAAGCACAGGGTCTGACATGACCAAACCTCTTGCCACTGTTGTCACACGCCAGCTGTGCTTCGTCGGTGAGGGCCCAGTGCTCATCTCGCCCTCTACCGCTAGTGACCCCTAGTGGCATGTGACGCCTAGTGGCTCTGGTCCTTCATCGCATTGAACCGACAGGAGCCCCAAAGGAAGTCCCCAAAGAAAGTCTGTGTCAGGAGCATCTCCATGTCGGGCCGATTGGCCTCAGATGGTGCGTGCATCTCCAACAACATCTCGCGGACTTCGAGCGGCCAGAGAGAAAATCCCGCGTCGGGCCTTGCCTCCTTCGCCTCGACCTCCATGCGCTGGAGCAAGGCTTGGAAGGTTCGGCCCAAGGAGTAGACATCTGCCTTGAGGCTGTAAGGTTCTGGGGGCTGTGCACGCATCTGTGGGGCCTGGTAGGCGGCAGCCCCCCGCGGCCGAGAAAGCAGCCGCCCTTCTTCCATGGCCTCAACTGCGCAACTGAAGTCTGAGATCACGATGTCGAAGCCACTGGTGGCCGTTCGCAGAAGAACATTGCCGGGCTTGAGGTTCCCGTGCAACACTCCCTGGCTGTGCATGTACTGAACCGCTTTGGCCATCTGGAAGATCAGCGGCCGGCACTCCAAGAGCCATGAAACGTCCAAGGGCGCACCCTCTCCCAGAAGATCTTGGAGGCTCTTGTCGATCAACTCCATGACGACACCCTTCTTGCCGAAGACACGCTCCATGTCGGCACCGTACCATTTGGGGAGCACCGCGAAGCAGTCCTGGACCTGCAAGAAGCCATGCCCGAGACGCTGCAGGATCTGCTTCTCACGCTCCACACCGCTTTCATTGATCCGCAGGCTGGTCAACTTCACTGCGCAGGCCTGACCCCTCACACCCCTCACACCCCTCACACCTACCGGCACCATCTCGTACACGGAGCCCCCCAGCTGCTTCTTCAGGACCAGCTGCCCAAAGCCAGAGCAGGAAGATGTCTCGATGACGGGCGCAGGCTCGTCTGAAGGTGAGCTCATCCGGCGGTCCAGAACGAACTCGGGCAAGCCTTGGGTCATGGCATGGATCTGGCTGCCCTGGCGTAGATACAGCACGCATCGGTTGCTTCCCGGGAAGACGTCCAGGGATTTCTGGCCAAAACCGAGGTTGGCATGAAAAGCCACCTTGCCACCTTCCTCGCTCACGCTAAGGCGGAAGTAGTGCCGAGTGATCAGCGGGAGCCGTCTCAGCACCGCTGCCAGCTCAACAGGGTGGCCCTCCACTGCAAGGAATTCGTTCACCACCGCCTTGCGCTGTGTGCACTTCCAGATACTGCCCTGCTGGACGCGCTCAGGTCCCAGTAAGTTGCTGAGGGCTTGATGGAAATCATTATAGGCCACCTGCTCGCTGAAAGCTTGCAGGTCACCCACAGCTTTGACTTCCACCATGTCAAAGGCCTTCTCCAGACCTGGCACATTCACGCACCACATCCGCACCACAGCAGCAGTGCCATCGTCGCGGAGGAAGCTGCACGCCTCCTTTGGCTCCACACCTTCATCGAGGTCTTGCGCGTGCGTGAAGCCAAAGATGCCCTTGTTCTTCTTGAAGTTGCTCTTGGACTCACGGCTGCCGTCCGTCAGCATGGTCTCCACTACAATGACCTCACCGTCCTCCCCGTAACCCTTGGCAGGCTGGAAGAGGAAGCGCGTGACCGTCTGGCTGAAGCCGTCCATGACGTGGACACCCTCAGCCTCCAGAGCCTTCTTGGCCGCCGTCTGGCAAAGGCTCCGGATGTTTGGCACCAGCCTCATGCGGCGGCTCTCGCTGCGGAGGAGGTAATGCCATTATGCAGAGGCAGCGAGGACAGGCAGGCCACAGCGTGGGCCGTGCGAATGGAAGAGGAGGGCCCCCGACAGGTAGCCGCCATACTGCCCAAAGTGCAGGAGGCGGTACCAGATTTCATTGGCGCACAACAAGGCCTCCTGGCCCAGGATGAGGAGCCGTGCCATTGGACTTCGAAGTCAGAGCAACGCCTGGTGGGTTGTAAATCTGTTTGGATTCAAGCTTGGATTCTGCTTGGATCTGATCTTGAGCCAGAATGGCATGCTTAAGACTCTTAAGACATGCTTCACAACCAACATCCTCAAGTCTGGAGCCAACCTTCGACGGTCCACTATTCAGTCTCCACGCGGTTTTGGCGTGACAACCAGGGTCCCATCACCTCAGCGCATCTCAGAAAGCACAGCTCAGAAACAGGAAGCAACATGGAGCATTAGCTCATATCACAGTTGCTCCTCCCATCACTCCTGTCAAGCTGTCGCGCTGGGAACCTTTTTCTTCTCAGGTGCGTCTCCCTCCAAAGGATTTCCCTGCAGCTCGAGATTTTGCAGGCTTGGCAGCTGCCGAAGCGCTGCTTGCACGGAGACCAAGCGGTTGCGCGTCAGCCTGCAGTCCACACTTCACACTGCACTTCAGCGACCAAAGCCACAAGGGATCCCTGAGGGCAGCCCAAGTGGCACAGCCGAACGAAGCGCAGCAAGTTGCGTGAAGGAGCTGGGAAGCGAAGTGAGGCAGTTCTCTGCCAAGCAGAGTTCCTGCAGCCCCAAGTTGTTGCGTTCCAATCAGGTGCTTCCTACACTGACTACACCAACTGGCAGCCCTGATCAGCCTTTGTTTAGCACCCATCTATGCCCTCTCCTCCAGCGCTCGCAACCGGCCAAAGGACTCAGGCAGTTGGGTCAGCTCATTCGCATTCCTTGAAGCACAAAGATAACTGTAGAATAAGATGACAGGTAATGGAATAGCAATATGCCACCAGAGTAGCAGAACAAAACATTGATAGAAACAATCAGAATACAATGATATGATCAGATGATCAGATGATCCTAAAGTCATACGATCATACAAATCGTACTGTAATTCTCTCAATGTAAGAATTTAACAATGCAACATCACAACATGCCAACAATACAACAGCATAGCAATATAACAATACAAGAGTACAGCCATGTAACAATACAACACTGGAACAATGAAACAATATACCAATATGACAACAAAGAACAACAGGACAACATATGGCGATATAACAATGGAACAAAACAGAAAATGGTAAAACAAAACACACACACACACACGCGCAGTAAAAATGCACTCATGCCATCATGCAGTATCTAAATAGTGAAACGGTGAAATAATGTACTTATGCAATCATGCTAAAAAGCCATAATCATGCAATTATGTATTCATGTACAAATAAAATCATGTGATCATGCAAACATGTACTACTGTCATAATGTAAAACTGTCATGTAACCATGTAACCATGCAACCATGTAACCATGCAACCATGTAATCATGTAATCATGTAATCATGTAATCATGTACTAATGTGATAAAGTCATAACGTAATAACGTAACAATGCGAAAGGTGATCATGTAATTTTGTCATAGTGTAATCATGCAGTAGCGTGTTAACGCAACAATCTCAAATGCAATAATTATGTAATACTATGACTATGCGAAAACGCATTACCGTGTTGTATTATAACCAGATATGAAGACAGGACAAGCGAAAAAAACAACACAATGAAATTCACAATACAAGTTGGCCATCCAAGGCGCAGGTGGCATGCCTGCAGGGAGCTCAGATCACCTTGGGTTCAACCCCAAGGGCGGCCGGAAGGACAACATGAAAAACGAACCCCGCGCGCGCGCGCCTGACTCTAACTTCCTTTACAGTAAACTCCAGAAAGTTGGAAACATGGTTTAAGGATGAGTAGAGTCGGGATTCCCTTTAGCATACCGTTTGAGTACAAGGATAAGGATGTTCCAAGTTTTTGCGCAGTCGAGCTTTTGCACCAGCTCGATGCTTTTACACGGTGCTGGCCGGATAGCTGCGGCCTGGAAAGAACCTTGGGCCTTCTCGGTTCTTCCCTTGTGCGACCTTGGAACCTGCTCCGAGCCTCCCTCGCACTCCCTTCGGAGACCATAAGAATATGAGAGGGCTCATTTGTTATAGGATAGGACTTGGGGATATAGACCCTCTCAATAAGGTCCCTCTTCAAGAGAGCCAGAAGAGGGTTCCCCTTATCCCACCTAGGATGTTATAATGTTGACTTCACATTAATGATTCCCGCTACAATTATAAAATCCAGCTGCCGGAACACAATAATGTAACCCCCCACAATTATAAAATCCAGCCCGGAATATTTTTTTTTTACGGGCGTGGTGCTACTACCTAATACTAAAACTAATAGTACGTCCTACCAGGATTTAGGCGAATATAATTGAGGAGGCCCTGGCCGGAGAGATTGATCAATCAAGGGGGGGAGGGGGGGGGTTTATTAATGCGAAGTCAACATTACTACTCTCTGATAAGACTTATTATCTTGTGATCTTATTCTCTAGATCTCTCTCTGCAATTCCGGCCTTGCAAGAAGGCGCATGACAAAGAATGCTGAATTCTGGCACCGGGGAGCCAAAGCTTTCTGGCAAGTGCTGCAGACGATTGCCGCTCGCCACAAGCCTCTTCAAGGACCGTAGCTGCCCCCAGTCATCAGGCAGCGTCCTGCGGGTGAGAATGGTGAGATTCCTAACCCGATGATGCTCACATAACTATAAAACACTACAAGACTAAGAGTAACAACATAACATGGCGAACAAACAAACAGAACCAAAAGAAACACTGTTTTTCTGCATGCAAGCAGAGGAGGGGGAGGGGTGGCTCTTCAAGTCTCCTCAGCTTGTTCCGGGAGATGTCCAGGATCTCCAGGCTCCGAAGCCTCGGAAAACCTGAGCGAAATTTCGTTCGCGCTCGATTTGTTTGCGTTCTGTTCTTGCGTTCGCGTTTTTGCTTGTTGTCTCGGTTGTTGGAGCTCATTTTTGCTGCCTAATATACAAGTAAGGAATGCCAAGAAATCTCAGTTCCGAACTTCTACTCCGCGGTGCAGCCAGGGTGCTCGACGGCAAGGTCTCGAGCAGGCACCCCACCGCCTACACGGGACGGGAGATTGAGAGCACGTGCCTACGGCATCCTACGGCCGCAATGCAAGTTGGCCTGTAAATGCCGCAGCGAGCCAAGGTCACTGCAGCAATCCGATAGGGATGGCCGCAACGGGTTTGCATCAAGATAGGCCTCCTGCAGCATGTCGCGCTTCCCTCAAGCGGGGTGTGGGGAGCACGTTGCCGCTTCGAATGACGAACTTCGAACCTGAAGATACGGCATTCCCGCCAAGCTCAGGCTCGACAAGCGATTGCCTGGCGCGACGAGAAGACGATATAAGATGTGATGCCCAGTCGTGGCAGCAACTTTGCAGACAGTTGCGGGACATTTGCCGCCCGCATCAAAGCGCGTGGCACGTGAGTAGGGCATGCACCCTCCAGGTGCAGCACTTGCAGGTTGGAAGTCTGCGCAGCCGGAAAGTTTCTGAGCATGTTCTTTGAAAGCCCCAGCACCTGGCATGAAATTGAAATGGCAAGAGGGTCAATGCAGGGGCAATAGGGTCTATAGGGGCAATAGGGGCAATAGGGGCATCTCTTTGTAGGATCATTCAGATTCAATCAGGGCACAGTCAGCTCCGGGCAATCCAGCACCGAAGCGTGCAGCTGCAGAACTTGGTTTCTGTCGAGCTCCAGCTGTCGCAGCTGCCGCAGCATCGCAAGGCCTTCCTTGGAGGCTTCGAAGCATGCCCAAACATGAAGGTGGTTGTGTTGTGTCAACAAGAAAGGACCCTGACTTCACATGGATGTCATGACATTTGTTGCCCGCATTGCACTGAAGAGTCGGGAACAAACTTCAAGCTGTTTTCTGGCAGGTGCAACAACCTGGCAGCATTCCGCAGGCTCACGCGAGCAGCGCTTTACCCAAGTTCCAGACCTTACAGTAGGGCTTCGAGCAACCCGCCTCAAAGAAGTCATCTTTCCAATTTCCTGGCATCATGCATTAGGGTTTAGGGTTTAGGGTCTAGGGTTTCGGGTTGAGGGTTTAGGGATTTGCTTGGACATTCTCGCGTCCTGCCATACATGGCCCTCGATTTCTCACCATGCATTTGTCGCAAGCCAGCCGTCCTCGGGCAGGCTTTCCAATCGGCTTCCCACAATGGTAAGTTCCTCCAAGCTGGGCAGCTCCACAAAGGACTGCCTCAAACCAACGAACACAATCTTGCTGCAACTAAGGCATTGCAAGGGTTCATGACCATCACTGCGCGAAATCGGGAAGCAAGAAGGATTCCAGGCTTTTTTTTGGGGGGGCAGCTCATTGGGATCCTATTGGGGCCCACTTGAAATCAAAACAAGTGGCGGAAGAGTTGGCAAATTGCAGTGAAGAATTGCCTGGCACATTTGCTTGGTGTCACTTGCATTGCGCCGGAACATACCTGCACGATACTGAGTACAGAGCCAACTGCTTCAAAGCAGTCATCTTGCAGAAGCTTTCCTCGGAAACTTTGACCACAAAGTGCGAGGTGCAAGTCCGCCCACGTAAGCAAACCCAAGAGCAAGCACATGTAGGCACTACCTACACATGTCCGGGGGAGCCAGGCATAAGCTTCTCACACTGGACGCCGGCCTCAACTTCTGACAAGGCTCTGGCAGAGATCGCAAACCGGCGCCAAAGATCCGCAAGCGTTGCAAAGACTGGCACACAATGCCAAAGCGCTCTGGCAAGGTCTTCAGGCTCTTTGACGAAATCTGAAGTTCCTTGTGCGTGGAAGCATGTCGAAGCATCCGGCATGTGCGCCTAAGACCTGCATCTACACACATCCTGCGAATAAGAGAAACTACATCATCTCTAGCTGTCTCTAATCCTGCTTGTACGGCCTGACCACGGCCCATGCGGCCTAGTTGTTCGCAGCACCGGAGTTTAGGACCATGTGAAAAAACTTATGTTATCCGCACAACAACTCCTTGAGAAAAGATATGGACGACCAAACTAGCCCGGAGCCAAACCCTCAGCTTGCTCTACCATCTCTTGCCGAAGCAAGCCACGGAAATCTCCTGAAGGTCATCGAATTTCTCCACCCCGGCCAGCTTGGCGAGCCGATTTTCAGCCAGGTCCGGCAGGATCCAGACCTAAACAACATCCCATCTGCTTGAACGCATCGACTCATGCAAGTAATGGTGCGCCTGGACGTCCACCTGCAGCTCAGCCTGAGGTCTCAACCGTTGCGGCGGGGGTTGGGGGAGTCCTACATGTAGGCGTCACTGGAGGTGGCAGGTGCACCGGGAACACCGTGGCCTTTTTAGAGGAACTCCCCACACAGGCTCCTGCGACATGGGTGGGTCCACTCATCCGGGACCGCGGGATGGGTAGCCACGTGAAGTGATAAACAACAAACGCATCAACAGGCCGCAATGCGCAGCAGGGTTTACGGACAACTGCTATCACTGCGAAAGGAGACAGCCGATAGTTCCACAATGAGGAATGTCAGAGCAAACCAGAACGTCAACTCCGAGGATACAGCACAACAAGGAGTCCCCCTACACGCTTGTAAGAACATGTAAGAACGTAGGAGCTGAAAATACCAGAACCTTACAAGTCCTGCCAAAGCCTCCACATGGAACCACTGCCAAGTGAACCGAGCAGCAATCGGAGTTGCATCATCCAACAAGTTTGGGCCCAGCAATTGGAGACCTCAGCTTCCCCGCACCCCCACCTTTCACCAAAGAAGGGCGGTCGTTCGTGTTGTTGCACCACATTCATCATATTCCTGTCCCCTTGCAGGTACCCATCAGGTACCTCTTGCGCAAAGATGCACCCTTTTGTTTTGGTAAGGGGCCTTTCATCCGGGAGAAGGGGTGGAAGGAGCCCCCCTGATTTCACAACAGAGCCCCGCCCCCCCCCCCCCCCTGGCCGCCCCCCAAAAAGAGCCTCGCTGCTTCCAAGCAGCGCCCGGGCGCCACCTGCAAGACTCGGGCCAGCTGCAGCCGTGCTTCGCCCACGCGGGCCACACGCTCAGAGACCGGCAACGCCTCTCAAGGGACGAAGGAGGTCAAGGAGATGAAAAAAGTAGAGAAAGAGGTGCAGAAAGAGGTAGAAAAGAGGTAGAAAGAAGCGAAATGTAGCAAGAAGACAAAACTCGGAAAACCTTCCTCTTCCTCTCGCAAGCTCTGAATTGTTCTGGCTTTTGGTGTGGAGGAAGTATGCTTGGGCGCAAAACGTGAAACAAGCGCCTGGCTTGTCTTCTGCTTCTTTTTTGGGCGGTGTGGCTGCTTAGAGTGGATGGCATTTTTGATGCACTACTTTTTCTGCGGGCACACAACGAGTGGAGCAGCTCAAACAGGCCACTTCCATCTTCAATTCATCCGGCGACTCCTCGCCTTGCCACTCACCAAGCGGAAGCTCGGAGACGTTGCGGCCATGGCTCCAGTTCACATGGAACTTTGAAGGCTGGGTCACAATGACTGCAACATCTTTGTGATTCTTTATGACACCTGCTACGGAACGACATGCTCAACATGCTTCTGACAGGGTGTTGGGAGAACTATGCCTGCCCACAAAGTTCAGCAATTCACATCCTCACCGTGCCCGGCTGCTGCTTGTTGGGCTGCGCGCGCTGGCCCACCAGGATGTCGTACTGGTCCTCCGTCCACACAAGACGTCGACAGCAAGGCACCCTGCACACGCTTGATGCACGCGTTGGATCCAGAGTTAGGGCGCGCGAAAGAAGCAAGGCCGTGCCAAAATCGACCCTGGACCGGTCGGTGAACTAACAACACGACGTGCACCCAGCGGAAAGCCGATCTAAGCTTGGAGCAGCTTGGGTAAACTCTTGAAAGTTGGCTGTTCTGGGCTAAGGGGTGAGGCGCTGTCCTGCTTCATGGTGATGGGAGGTGAAGCAAGAACAACCTGCAGCCCCAAGAGCCAGTGTCTGCCAGTAACCCAACGTAGCCCCTTGCACCTTTCTGTGCAGATGGATGTGCTGGTGGCGCCCTTTCTCCCAATCCTGTCGGCCAGATGCTTCTGGTGTCTTCTGTTGAGAATGCTCCTCGGCGCTGCTCCATGAGGGTCATGGCCTCATCTACCACGGCTGCCCGTTGCGAGAGGTTGATCGGCAAACCTGCTCATTGACAAGGCGGGATGGCAGTCGGGGTATGTCGGGGTGGCACAGGGTGCAAGAGGGCTTTCCCGGGGCATGCCTCGAGGAGCATACATCAGCTCAGAGGGCCTCTTGGTAGCTTTCTGCAGCCAGGTGCAACCCCCGCGAGAAGTGGCGAGGCTTCTCAGGACGAGACTGCAACTCACCACTCATCTGGCAGCTCCTCTTCAGCCACGTGTCCTGAAGGCTCCCCCAGGCATCTATCCGCATGTCAGGGGTTCATGGCATCTCGAGATTGCACCCTAGCGTGCTAAAGCAGTCCACAGCTGGGACGATGGTCAAGCCTCTGTCCTGGCATGGCACGGACGGAAACATCTGAGTTGAGAATTAAACAACCAACGAACGTGCATGTCAACTCAGCGATTTGTCTTTTGGTCCCGCGCTTGCTTGGACACCGGAGAGGGCTGCGAAACAGCCCCAAAGGGCGTGTCAATAAAAGCACACGTCCAATGAACTGCTGGATCTCGGAATGCCAGCAAATCACGATGAGCTAGTCGGCCTGAGGGAACTGAACCCTAAAGACTAAACCCGAATCCTAGCATTATATAAGGGGACTCTCACCATCCTTGACAAGAGCCGGCTGCAAGATAGGGCAGGCTGTGCCAGTCAAGAGACCACCTGCGCCCCTAGATCTCTTAGGCGGCAGGTGTGAAGGTGAAGGGTGGAAGCTCAAGGACATGGGGGTGAGTTAACTACAGCGCAGTCATAAGGCTGGATGAAGATTGGCATCAAGAGAAGAATCACGAGTCCCTGAGCATCCTCACAAGGTAGCCTCACGGCTCTCCACTCCCGCGTGCCGTTCCACGACTTTTTGCAATGGACGTGGCCGGGGAGGAGTACCTAAAAGTACGCGCCAACCTAAAACAATCAAAAGCTTTGGAGCCCGCGGACTCGGCTGTAAGCGGCGTCGCTTCGCGATCGAGCACTAACTGTGTAAATTGGTGGGGGAGGCAAACCCACAAGTGCAGAAAGCTGTGAAGATACCGACAACACCTCTCCTTCGAACCTCGGTTTAAGTAGGTGGCATTTCAACCCCCTGTTGACCTGGTGGAACGCTACTAAGGGTTTGCACGAGGCTTCAAACATTGCCTTAAATTCCTAGGCCAGTTTTTGGCCGTGACCGTGCTGCTTGCTGAAAGTGCTGTCCCCTTTGCCAGTCTGGCAGGCAAGATGCAAGCAGCCTGAGAAGGGCAAGAGATGGCAAGAATTAGCTTTCACCTGATCCTTCGAACTGGGGGCTTCGGCCCGATGAGCAGCAAAGCTGGCAAAGACCATATGAGAACCATTCAATCAAACGAGGCCTGCCAGGGTGCCAGGGGAAGTTCTCGTGGACTCTTGCATCACACAACTTTCAGAGCACATCGCTTGGCGGTGCCTCAGACGAGGAACGTGTGGAAATCCCATCTGGGTATGGGCGCACAATTCCGAAGTTCTGGTCGTAGATTATTCTATTCCTGAGCTGCAAGCGTGCCGGCACCTGTACTCTATGCAGCATGCAGTGGACAACAAGTCTCCATCCACACGATGCCTCTAAATGCAGCAAACACTCTTTGAGAACAGCCGACGCATCTTGTCAAACACGGTGATCTTGTTGAGCTGCACTTCTGTGTGCGGCATCGGCTTCTGTACCACCTCAGAAATCTGCGTGGACGGCGTTAGCCACTCAGGACGACGTGTTGCCTACCCAGCCCCTCAGCCCTTCACCACTGCTCCGGTCTTCTTTGCGTTGTAAACCCGAACCGGCACTCGGTCTTCTTCCTTGCGGTCTTTCTCCTTACGGTGGCACAGTGGCGCAGCTGTGCTATGTGCTATGTGTCACAAAGGCACGGTTGAATGGTTGAACTCATGGTCGCCTTGCGGTTTTTGGCGGCATTGATGATGATACAGGGGGTCTGGCAGACAGCGGGGCGGCGCTCGAGGTGATGTCTCTGCACATCAGCAACACCGCAAGAGCACCTCTCCACCAACGATATGCCGTTCTCCCGATTGGTCACCACCCTTCAGGATCACGCGCTGGTCGAAGCCACTGCCAGCCTGCACATGGCCGTCTGAATTTCCCCCCCTTGCTGGCATCCCACCTCACCCATGGGAAACCATGCCGGCCCCGCCACCAGCTGCCACCCGTCCTGTCCGTACATGTTTTGGTGACTTGCTTGTGAACAGTGCATGGGGGTGATTTCCACAACGACCACAAAAACCGCCCCCAGACAGATTGAAAGCAGTGCGCGACCAAGTCGCCGTGTCTCGGAAGGTGCGCACCTCTTGTGACAGGAGTCTTCACACTCAGGACCACTCAGGGCCCCTAAACCCTAAACCCTAAACCCTGAACCCTAAACCCTAAACCCTAAACCCTAAAAACCCTAAACCCTTTTGCATCCGCCGAGGCGCCCTGCCGATCCAGGCTTCGATGCACATGGACGGATGTGAGCAGAGGAGCTCGGCGCATCGCGTGGCGGCCTCATCCTTCTTTTGCACCTCCCTTCTCAAGCTTCCTTGGAGGGCTTCTTTTTTTCAGACACGCCGCACTGCAGGGTTTAGAACTTAGGGTTTCTCCAAGCTTCCTTAGGGAGGATTGTTCAGGCGGAAGCAGCACTTAGGGCCGCTCGGCAGCTCACCTGAATAATCGGTGTGTTTTGAGGATTCCTTAAACTTATGGGTGAGAGCGTGAGTGTGTGTGCGTGTGTGTGTGTGTGTGTGTGTGTGTGCGTGTGTGTGTGTGTGTGTGTGTGTGTGTGGGTGTGCGTGTGCGTGTGCGTGCGCGTGCGCGTGCGCGTGCGCGTGCGCGTGTGCGTGCGCGTGCGCGTGCGCGTGCGCGTGCGTGTGCGTGTGTTGGGTGTTACTAGTTGCTAGCATTACAAACCCTACTTCATGTATCCGGATGCACCAGGGCGCTCGTCAAAGAATCGATCTTGGCTTGGTCTTCCTTCATCTGCTGCCGGTACTTTGCTAGCTGGGATTGCAACTGCCGGACACTGCCAACCTGCAAGCGAAGGTAGATTCGGGGCCATTCGGATTCATGACTAGATGCATACAACGAAAAATCTTAAGGCAAGCGGCAGTGTTTTCAAGCTCGGTGGAAAGCGCTTCCTTCTCCTCTGATTGCTTCTTGCAGATCTGCGATAGTCTTGACGCTTTGGCTTCGAGGTGGTTCTTCCTTGCTCTCGGCCACTTGGGGTGCGCATGCTGCACACCCACACGCACAATCACGCACACGTGCACGAGCCTAACATGCCGTTTGTGGCCGACATGGCCAAGGCTCGAGTCTGCGAGGCTGTCCAGCTCGTCGCCCATGTTTGTTTGCTGTAGCCGTGAGCTTCGCAATTCCTCCTAGAGAACAGACACATGCAAGAACAGCAAAGCCATCACCAGCGGTACTACTTGTAGTGCCTTGAGCTGCTTGGCTACCTCCCGCAAGCCCTGGAGCTGGGCGTTGGTATCACTCTTGGCATCCACAGCCTCACTGAGCTCATCTCGCCTCAGCACATGTGTACCACACACCTGCTCCTCAAGGAAAAGTTCCATCTTTTGCGCCCCCCTTTCGCCCACGCAAGGCACTTTGCAACGAAAGCAGTTCGCCAGCAGATGTAAACCAAATGCTTGGCAAGACCACGGATGGTGAACAGCCTTTGCCCAACTACCGCTTTAGCACGTCGTGATGTACATGTGAGGCAAAAGAGGTTGTGAGAAAACCTCACTGTCTTACTGCAAACCCCTCCCAAAAATTGAACTCCCCGCAATGGCACGGTATGGCACATGCGTACTGGATTGTACCGTCAAACTACCTAATTTAGGGTTTTTTCTATCAGAGGAAGGATGCTCTGAGAATCGGGCAAGTGCCGGCTTTCGGCTGATGCGGCCTGCATTGAGTTGGGCTGGCAGCACGCACATCTGACAAAGATGCGCAACCAGTCAACCAGTCCTGGCATTCCATCCGTTTCTTTGTCAGCTCGGCTGCTTGCAACTCATTCTGTTGCAGCTGCTCTTGCAGCGTCGACCTCAAAACCTGCAGGGCACGTCTGCATGCAGTACCTAATCCCTTGCGTCATGGAGTCACTGGGGTTCAAACGTCCAGTGAGTCACGTGATTGCCTTGACAACAAGCCAGACAGCACAGTACTCTTGAGGTTAACTGGCAAGCAGCTTCGCAAGTACCCTGCCTCTCGCCGTCCTGAAGCTGCATGCGCAAGGCGGTGAGCTCGCACTGAAGCCTTTCGATCTCTGAGTCCTCTGGCAGATATGCGCAGTGTGCGAGTAGTTCCCGCTGAAGCAGGAGTTGCTATAGAAAGAGCCAAAACCTGCACTCACAGCATCATCTGATATGTCGTTTAACACCGTGTTCATCTCTAGGTTTTCCTTCAGAAGTAAACGTCTCCACCTGACGTGCACCGCAGGGCTGCAAAATGGTAAACCTAGATCTTGAAAACGAGGCAAACTCAGAAAAATTTGGCATTACGGGAAGGCAAACTCCGAACTGCAGTATTGCGACCCACAACCCGTATGAACGGAGGCTGAGAAAGACAGCTCGCCGAAATCTCTGTTTGCTTCCTTGCTTCTTTGCCGCTTTGCCTGCCGCATCCCCTTGCCGCCTCCCCTCCCCTTGCCGCCTCCCCTCCCCTTGCCGTCTCGCCTCCCCTTGGCGGGCTTGTTGCAAGCAAGCGGAGCCCTTGCCTACGGGCCTACCCTCCACCCCCGAGGAGCAGGCGGCCCGAAGTAAGCAGAACTAAGCGGAGCCCTCTCCCTATTCTCCCCCATGCACTTGGCAGGGTTTAGGGTCTAGGGTTTAGGGTTTAGGATTTAGGATTTAGGGTTTAGGGGTTAGGGTTTAGAGGTTCGTCAAGCAAGCTGGTGATCGTCTCCTTCGTCGACATCTGGCGAGATAGCAGATCATGCTGAAGCCTTAGGTGCTCGCTTCTTACGCGACCCGACACATGCACGGGAAAGAAAGGATGCCGAACGCTCCAAGCAGCTGCCTGTCTTCGAGGCCTCATCGTTTTGACATTCATGAAGATGAAGATAGGAACTCAGGTAATAACTGATAGACCACTCACAAACATCTAGCTGAGCCATCCACATCTATCCAAGATCGAGGTTTCCTCGGCTGGAAGTTTTGCTTCGCACGCCAGCCTGCCACAAGCTCCGGCTCCGAACATCTGAGCCTCGGTCCTGCCGACACTTCTGAAGCTGCGACTTCCTTGGTAGATGGCAGCAGGAGGCAGAAGGTTCTGGTGACAGTGTGAGCATAGAGGCGCATGGGTGAAGAATGTAAAAATGCATGCGGGTCTCATGCTCTGCACTTCTCCAGTAAGTGATTTAGCATGCTGCCCGCTTTGCTCCAAGCTGGTCGACAAGGAATCCTCCAGGATGTTAGCAGGTCTCATGTTTCAGCATATGTCCGCAAATTCGGCATCACAGGTTGAACATCCTTCTCCATCTGTGAGAGTCTGAGTTCCGAAGAGAATCGGCTCAGGTCCATCCTGGGCAGAATACTGTAGAGCTGCACGCCGGGCCACAAACGAAACCATTGCCCTAAGAAGCCCTTCGCTCACAAGCACAAGCCTTTTTGCAGGCTTGTTTATCGTTCAAAACAAGCCACTCCGACTGCACAAGGCGGTCCTGCCGAGGACTAGCGGTCCGTCGATTCCCAGGAAGCATGAATTACCCCACCTGTCCTTCATGCTCCTCACCTGGCCCAGGTAGTCCTCGGCCTGCATGCCCTTCCTCATGAGCTGCAGCGAAACCACTTGCATTTCCTCGGCTGTGCTACCGGAGTGTCACTCATTCGCAACGAAGTCATTCAAGCAGCCCAAAGAAGTCATGGTCAGCACGAAAAAAGGCGTTTTGCGAAGTTCCCCCTGTACAAGGCTCCGTGTCCTTGAGGTCGATGGCCGCAGTCAATCCGTTGAGTCTCGAGCTGGCTTCCATGAGCTGCTCCTTCCTTTGATGGGTGCATGGCATGGCCTGCATGGCCTGGATGCCTCATGGGTCGCGCAAAGGCGACACCCTTAAAGGCAAACGGTTCTTTTGAGGCACAGTCTCAAGGTTGCCATTTCCGCATCGTCCTTAGATGAGAATGCAGTGCCCAGACCCTCGCGTCCAGAGATGGCTTGCATGTGCTTGCGAGGTGCAACCATGGCCACCTTCTCCAAGCGTTTCTTGGCATGATCCAACTCATCATTCAACTTTTCAATGACCTTTGCCAAGGGACGCGAGGGATATGTCTAGCCCACATGAGACCATGACCATTGACCATGCCTTGCCCGTGTCTTTGAGGCGCGAGGAGCTATCCGGGGAAGCACACTGGGCTTTCCAGCTCCGACATTGTGTCTTGTTTGGTTGGTGCGGTGCGGAGCAAATGTTCTGACTTTTTCTTCTGCTTGGAGTGGGCGCTGACGACGTGAATGCTATCACGAAACATGACGAAGTGCCAAGCATGTCTGCAGTTGTTCTGCCATCCAAGGAGCTGCCTGCTTGTCCTGCAATGCTTTTAGCAGGCTGCCTGCGAAGCATCATCGACATGGTAGTTGAAATCTACTGAATGACTGCAACCACAAAAGAAAACCTGAACGAGTGCACGATGCAGCCCAGCAGCTGTACTGAGACCGCCAATTGTCCAACTGGCGCGCGATTTCAGTGGTTTGTTTGTATGCCATCTCTGCAGTGATTTGCCACTGGCATATCTCCTGTACCAAGTGTCACAAGTCATCCACACTGTCAACAGCACTTGCATACACTGGAACGCAACTCAGCATTCCACGAGAAGCAAGAAGCCATGTGCCTTCACTGAGTTCTCACGAACTTGCTTGGAGTCTTCCGCGGCTTTTAGGAAGGACTTGCCGACCTCCTCCTCGAGGAGCACGAGCTTCTCTTGTGCTCGCACGAGCTGCTGTGTAAGGTCTTCGCGCTCGAGACAAGTTCTCTCCAGCTCCATGGTCAGGTCGTCCTTGTCCGTCAGGCTGGTGTCCAGGGATGCCTTTACAGAGCGCACTGTGTGCTCCAACTCGGCAAGTTGTCTCTTCTCCATCTGAATCCTCCCTAGGAACTCCTCAGCTTCCATGGCCCTACCCTCCAAAGTTTGGGCCAGCCGAGTGTTTTCGAGCTGTGTCGTAGACAGGGTCGCATAGAGCTCGGTGACTTGGCGTTCGTAGTCCGAGACCTGCTGGTTCACCGAGCTTATCTGTGACTTGAGCTCCTCGTTCTCCTCTTCCTGAGCCTTTAATGTTCTTGCGAGCGAGCCCTTCTCTTCGCTCAAGAACTCCACCTGTGCATTTGAGGAGCTCGTACTGGCAACCAAGTCTTCGATGCGTTGGTCACGCTGCAGCAGTTCCGGGCGCAACACGGAGTTAATCTGTGACTTGAGCTCCTCGTTCTCCTCTTCCGAAGCCTTTAATGTTCTTGCGAGCGAGCCTTTCTCTTCGGTCAAGGATTCCACCTGTGCATTTGAGGAGCTCACACTGGCAGCCAGGTCTTCGATGCGTTGGTCACGCTGCAGCAGTTCCTGACGCAACGCAGCACTTTGGGACTGCTCCTGGTCCAGGGAAGATGTCAGTGAGTCTAATTTCCCCTGGAAAATTTCGGCATGTTCCTCTGCGTTCTTCACCAGTCGCTGCTGCTCCAGTTGCTTGGACTCTAACAAGACTTCCGTTTCACGTGCCTGCTGCTCCAAGTGCCGTACCCGTGCCTTGGAGATGTTCAGGTGGCCCATGAAATCCTCCGCGGCCATAGAAGTCAGCTCCATCCTCTTGGACCGCGAGGCCGTCTCCCTCTGCGCAGCCTCCAGTGAGGCGGAGAGGCAGGTCAACCTCCCCTCGTACTCCTCAAGTTGGGCCTTCGTTTCCGCTAGCCTTCTCTCAACTGCCTCGCGGTCACTTTCCGTCTGGGTCAGCCTGTGGCTAGTCAGGCTGAGCTCAGAAGAAACCTGATGAACTTGAGACTCTCTCCTTTCCAAGTCAATCTCTCTCTGCTCGAGTCTCATTTTCAGATTTGCATTCTCTTGGCTGTGCTCTTCCAATACACCGTGTAGATGAGTAGATTTCGCCGTGGAGTCCTTTAGACTCTGGCGAAGATCCTCCAGCTCATCATGGCAGCACTTAAGCTCTGCACTTGTGCTTGCCAATCTCTCTGTGCAAGCCTCTGCCTCTGCTGCCTTCACTTCGAGGGCCTCCGACAGCTTCTGGCGCTCAGACCTTTCCTCTCGCAAGCTGGAGGATAGGTTCTCCATCTCCTGCTTTGCCTCTTTCAACTGCTCCTCGGTAAGCTTCACCTTAGTTCCACGGAACGAGCAGAAGGCCTCGTCAAACGCCTGCAAACTCACCAGTCACTGGAGCTCAGGGCACCTGCTCCTGCAACTTTTGCTGGCTGACGGAATCGGAAAGCAGCATGGATGACAGGCTGGATGTCCTGGCCGCCAGATCAGATATTTACCAATCACTCCGGAACGGTCACATGCAGCCCGTGGGCATACTCTGCTCTCCTCCTCCGCTCAGCTTCCAGTTCGGCTTTCACAGAGCTCAGCTCGTGCGTTGACCTGCTTTGTCACTTGGCGGCGCTTTCTTACTTGAGACCCTGCGAACCTGTAAACCCACCATGTCCAACTACGCACGCGTCACATGTCTGAAGACGACAACGGAAGTAGCAGGATAAAGGCCGGGAAGCCTTTCCAGCTTTGTCTCCACCAAGGTTGCGTGCGCATCCCTGTCCTGGAGCTCCTGTCTGCAGGCTTCCTCAGCTCAAATGCGCACGCGCGGTGCATGCGGAGGGACTAGGTCAAAGTCGGTGTTTGAAAAGTACCTACTTACGAGAAACTCCTGCAATGCAAGAAGGCGAGCGGCAAGCCTTTTGCAAGTGAGACTGATGTTCTTTCTCAGTCCACTCATCTCTGCCTCAACATCGCCGCAGGCAATGCCTGAGGGCACAACACGCCGATTCTAGCGCACCTCCTCCCTGCACCGAAGGGCCAAAGGGCAAATATTCAATAAACATCATCATCATAATCATAATCATAATAACAAGAATAGTGATGGTAACAATACTAATAATCATAACCAGAATCATACTCATAATGATGATGATATGCCCAGTTGAGTGCCGAGGCACAGTCCGCCAATGGCCTGACAAAGCGTTTCCAGCCGGTTGGCGTGGAGCCAGCATTGGCGGCAATCGCTCCTTACGGTACGGGGTAGCCACAACGTAAAGGGTTCGCATGCCCAGTCATGCCCGGCAGCAGCGTGAAAGTGCAGGCCCCTCCTTCCAAGGATGCACCAGCCGGGAAGTCTGCCTCCGAGCCATCGTGATGAATTTCAGAAGTCATCGCGCATGCCTTCAATACCTGGGAGAAGGATGGTGAAGGCAACGCCCAGCAACAGAAGCAGAGAGGAATGTCCAATTGCAAAGTTTACCTTCCGAAAGATCGGCAACGGACAAACACCAGTCAGGAACCCCTCAGGTTTTGACCCCTGAAAAGAGCTTTCTAAGATTCAAAAATCAGAGTTGCCTCGGGGGAAACACACGGCTGTACGGTGGGACTTTCGTCCGTGTCCTCCGTCTTGGTTACGACGTTGGCGCTGGCCTCCTTGGTCGCAGCTGCTGGCACAAAAGACTGTTGGGTCTCGAGTGGGTGTGTGGATGGTGCGCTTTTCGGGCAAGATCTCCCAATTTCAAACACAACCACGCACAGGGCAAACGGAAAGGACGGGTGTCGGCATCCGCGCCACCGGCCGCCAGCATGGGTGGGAGTTCCAGTGGGGGGTGGTCTGGTGGCTTTTTTCTTCTTCTGTCTGGACTATAGTGACTATAGTGCCTCTATGGTGTGTATACAGAGAAATCTGGCGGCTGATCTTGCTACGTTCAGGACAACACGGCTGCAGGTTGCTGCAGGGGTGCGCCGGTGGCTGGGCAATTGGTCCACTTGCTTCTGGAGTTTGAGCGCAAGCGCTGCGAGACGCAAACGAACTCGGAGCCAAGAAACACATGGCCTATCACATGCACAGCTGAAAGCGCCACGCTGGAACCTCAAAATGAGGCCAGTAGACAAACCATGTGCCGTACCTGGCCTGGGTGAGCCAAGCAGGCACTGAAGATTCAGACCGCCACCGCATGCAGGGACTGAATCAGGCTCCAGCCTCTATTGTCTTGACAATGTCAGGCTTGATCCACACTCGCAAGTGTTGGCATACCTGATGAGGGTCTGCGAGAACATGGCATAAACTGGGGCAAGACTTCTCGGCCTGTCTTCCAAAGGTCTCAGGCATCTGCCCAGTCATGCAACTTCAGCTCCTCTTGATCAATCACCTCGCCGCGCGAAAGCTGCATGGGGCTTGCGGCTCATGTGTTGCACAACTTGAGTCTGTGACAAGAATACATCATGGAGGGCTCACTGGCTCATGTGTAGGCTTGCTGCTCTGCCGATCTGGAGTACAGGGACCGCCACCTCACACAGCTGTGCCATATGATGATGCATGATGCCTAGCCCTGCTAACCCTTTACTTTGCCTGACTCATTCGACTGTTCTGAGGAAGGCTCCCCAGCTGGCAAGTAGAGTTTGTCGGCACGTTCACCGCCCTGCACAACAAGGGCGCACGTGCTCGAACCCTGACTAGGATCGTCGATGCTGCCTCCTTGAGTTCCCAAGAGAACTGTGCCGTCCTAATACGCAGCGTCAGGATCCGTGCAGCTTCGCAATGAATAGACTTCTTGAACGTCTCCGATCTTCAATCAATGAATTCTCAGACAAGGCGCTGTTTGAGCCAAGTCCCCTTTTTTGAGACCAGTTTGCCCGGCTTGATCTGCCAATCCAAAGCACTGCTTCCACACAAGGATTGGGTAAACTGTCGCATACAAGGGGAGCCTCCCAATCAGGAGCATAGACGTACCGCCTCATTTTCACAATACATTTTCGGCAGCAAGCTGACTGTTGGTCGGCTTGCGCTTCCGGGTGCGGGGCATCTCTGTTTGTAGCGTGGCCTCAAGAGACACCAGCTCCTCCAAGCAGGCATCAGAAGCCATGAGTTCGAAGTCAGGGGAAGCCCTTTGTGTTTGTCCGACTTTGTCTTGCAAAAGTCTGTGTCAGACTTTGGGAAGCGAGGGCACATTGAAGATTTCAGATCGAAGATGAACCACCCAAGCCATGAGCTCACATGTCTAACTGGACACAACTACCAAACAAGTCATGGGCAAACTTGCCCCAGGCCTGCCAGGCGCCCTCCCACCTCACAGGAGAGACCGTTCAGCTGACTGGGCGTCAATGTCAACGCTTGTCAATTCGCAGATTAAGCTGCAAACCCTGGCTCGCATGGCTGTTCCTGGAAAGCCTGACACACGTTAGGCATGGCTCATCTGCACTCACGCATCTCATACCAGCCTCAAGAGCTTGCAAGCTTTTCTAACCCCGCTCCACAGCAGCATCCACGCCAGGCTCGCAGGCTGCTCTGCCTCGCGGGCTTCAGCGACGAGATCTTCCAGGTCCTGGAGTGCCTCAGGTCGAACAAACTAGAACTGACAAATACAAGCGTGACAAATCGTTGCTTTTCGCCGGCCTCTTGCATCTCCAAGGCCTGGGAACTTCTGCGACACGGGTTTCGGACACGGCAAAAACTGGCTTTTTGCTTCTCTGACCACGTCCTCCAACGACCCTTGAAAAGCTCCCGCGCCTCGAGCGCACCGCACTTTGGATCGGCTTCGGCCCTTCGCAGCTGACGAACTGGCTCCTGAAAAAACTTGGAAACCTGCAGGCGATACCCTGACTGCGAGATGAGCCTCGAATCGTCTTCGGCAAGAGGAACTGGCCTCAGCTACGAGTCCAGCCACTGATGCGTGCATGTTGAACCGGCTGTCAAAAACTCATCCTCAGACAGCTCGGGGTATGGCAGACAGCAGCGTGCCGAATTCCCGTGCCTGCAGGCAACATCCGGCCGTGGGTTGCAAGCTTCCTTAAAATTTCAGCGAGCTCGCGCTCAAACAAGCGAGCCTGCAGAAAGCCGAGGAGCCTCACCGTGTCCTGCATGGCTGACATTTCTCCTTTTGCCGGGGTGGGAAATCGAGAGCATGCAAGGGCCGACTTTTCTCCACGAATACAAGCTGAAGCAACAGAGCATGAGCACTGCTCAAGACTTCCAACCACTGTTTCCTCAGTCCGCGCACAACAGATGTTCAAACTGAAGGTCCCGCATGCTTCACACAGCTTGCTTTTCTAGGCCTACAATACTCTTACAATGCGTACATTACATCCAGAAAGCTCAGCTCCTATGCGCAGCAATGCATTGGCTGCAATTTGCACCACCTGGAGGAATGCCATGCTCAGATCTGGGATGGCAAGCCAAGATGCGACGTATCTCGGGCATAGCCAGCGGAAAGCGACCAGATGGATCTGCTGCCATGGCCCAGTTCAGTGTGGCACAATTCCGCGCGTCGCACTCGATGGAGCAAAGGGAAGCCCCGCATTCACACACTTCACATGTCCACACCTCAGTTGAGGTGAGCCTGCTCTTCTCCTGCTCCTGCTGTTGCCCGCCGACCCTCTTCCCCGCAGGGGTCATGTTTTACGGGCCTTGGGAGAAAGACCTGGAAAGGATGGAAGAAACCCTCCGACCCGCCTGTGAGCCTACTGCCTAGTCGAAGCCTCATGATGTCCCCCCCAAGATCCCCAAGTTGGGGGGCAAAAGCCGCCACCCACATAGCGCTCTCGCCCCCTGGCACCATGACCAGTTCCCGCAAGGACGCAATTGAAAGCATAGACAATCGAATATGGATTGAGGGAGTCAAGCTCTAGTGTGCATCCGCCTGCACGGTATACACTTTAGGGCAGTGATTCGACCGTTTCTTAGCGCTGGCGTCACCGTCTGTTACACTCTTGCCCTTCCTCCTCTTAAGCCTTACGGCCTAGTTTTGGGGTTGTATTTGCCCAGTCGCAGCTGGTTCTGCACCTGGCCACCACGACACCAGGAAATCCAACCTTGTAACGGCCGGAGGCTCCGTGGTTTCACTCCGGAACCAGGCCAGCCATCTGTCCACCAAGGCGTCCTGGACGGGCTCCGGGCTGCAGCGCTTAGAGAGCTATGTCGATTTTTTACACATCTACACACTTTCCAAAATGGCCCGCAGGCCGTTTCGCGTTCGACCGACTTCACCATCTCCAGGTTGCCTTGAAAGAGCTGGGCAGCAGCCTCAGGGAAAGAGGAATGCACGCGGCTGAAAGAAGAAGACATGCCCTGCAAGCCTCGTCTTGAGATAAGACTGTCGCCGACGTCAGGCGAAAGTCCTTCACCTCGAGGACGTCCTGTCAGATCCATCGGAGCATTTCGCAGCCCTTGCACTGGCACAAGGCCTGGTGGTTGTGATGAGCACCCGGTGGCTTCATCGTCATCCATAGGCGCTCACGACAGAAAACCCACTTTCCAGCGGCGGCGTTGTGGAAACACAAGACTCTGTGTTCACATACCACGTCAGGAACAAGCGCCTGCACCTGGGCTCTGGCGGTGCACGAAGGGGATGAGGAAAAGCGACGCAGCAGCAGTCACGGTGCATGCGCAGCGCATGCCAGGAAACTCAGGAATGCATGAGAACTTTGGTCAGAAACACGCCACCCCTGAATCTTGTATGTACGATGCAAATTGTCCTCGTAGTACTTGTACATAATGCACAGACAAGCTGCGACACAGGTTAACTGCTCGTTGTTTTGGCCTGCCAGTCTGCACAGCACGCGACCCAGGTTCTCCACGCCTGCAAAGGGGATCACATCATCGCCCTGCCAGCTGAAGCCCAACTTGGCAACACCACGCACAGTGGATGTATTGAACGCATTCTCTGCCGGGGTATCGCCCCAGACCTCTCTTCTAAGCCAGAGCAAGTCATCAATCGCGTGCTGCGCAGCAGCAAGTGGATCCCGCCGAACATCAGCATGGTGAACTCGGACCGTGGGTGGGACCCTGTAGTCCCTGTTCAAGCTCATCTGTGGAATCCATAGCTTCCCGGCAAGCTGACAGTACAACATGGATGGATGTGGCCAGCCACTGCGCAAGCCAACCCTCTCCATGCGCTGCTGCAGTTGAAAAAAGCTATGCTCCCTCACACACCCTGCAACTTGGTCTGCGTCTGAGCGCGGGCAGGGCCACAAGAAATACCACACGACTTGGTTGATCCCTGCCAGAACTGCTTGGGCCCAGTTCTCTGACAAGGTCTCTAAGTCGGCCGACCGTTGCACGAAGACGGTGTAGAGCTCAAACTCTCCAGCAAGCGATGGGAAAACCCCACATTCGCCATCCATGAGATCCCGAAGCATACCGTCATTTGTGACTGCGAAGTCCGACCACGTGGAATTGGCTCGATAGTCCCACCAACGCAGCAGCAGTACGGACAGCAGCGGTTGCTGACACGGTCGCGAATTCCTTGTCCACACTTTGGGACATCGATCATGTACAGCACGGTCTTCGTCTGCACCGAGCACGGAATCAGCTCTCCTCACCAGAGCGTGCGGGACCGGAATGTCCAGCGTCTCGGCAAAGCCGGCGAGCGGATCTTGGAATGGGCCTGCAAACCGAACCAGAACGTGGTCAGAGCGATCCGCTTTCTGCAATATCTCCCCTCGCAGCCAACCTGAGGAAAGGCCCGCAATTGGCGACCTGCCACTGCGTGTGCAAACATGAACAAACCGACTCCCTCTCGGATGCAGGTTGGCATGGTAGAACGCAATGACCGGGAGTCCAGCATCCAGCTCCTGTGCTCCAGTTCTACATCCAGGTTCTGGAAGCATATCCGCCGGTCAAGGCAGCCATCGCAGCGAGCAGAACTGCAAGCAGCGAAAAGCTAGCAACAAAGCATCCTCTACGACTAATCGTGCGACTGGTCTGCAACTAAACTGAGAAAATCATGTCTGCTCGCTTGCTGAGCCGTGCAAGGGCCCACCTGCGCATGTTCAAGTGCCGAAACCGGAGTGCCAGAGATGTCCCCACCCAGGGCCTGAGGAAGCCAGACCATGCCGCACATTGCAGCCTCCATGACCTCACTCTGCAACAGCACCACAAGCCAAACAAAAAACCAACAAAGCTCTGAGTACGGTCAACCGCGGGCTGAGACAGCAACTCTCAAGCGGACGACCTCGAGGATGACATCGCTGACAACCTCAGACCTATGAATACTATTGAAGTACTGCTGTGCTGGCCAAACATGTTCCTATGTGCTGTCACGGAGATGAGCGTGTCCGTGCTCACATGCCTGTAGGCCTTGGTCCTAGGTCTTGTCAGCTAGAGGCCAACTTTGATGAAACATTGGAATGAACTCAATCTCAAGTATTTTGCCTGGACTGTTATGTCTGTACCGCACTCTTGGTCTTGGTTCAACCTCAAAACTCATGACTCGAGCAAGACGCTAGTTACTTTGAGCGTGCATGAATGGCAAGCCTTAGCCATCAACAGCAGAGGCGACTCTGTCTTTTTCATTGCACACACCTCTCAGAACTTGTGAACCTGGCAAGCGGCGTATCCCAACCTCACATTTTGCAAAACAGGCATGAAAGTGACACATCCATTGACGAGAGCTGGCGTGAGGCGGGGGCTCGGCGAGCAAACCACCGAGCTTGCCCTGCATCTTCCTGACTGGATTTGTGATTTCTGCGTGTGCCCAAGGCCCACGGTGCAGAGACGAAATCGCGCCTCTTCCCGCCCTCAGGCAGCTTGATGCGTTCGATGGGCCCGGCCATGCTCTCCACAAAGCCGTCCGTGCCGCATACCAGAATCATGCAGCCTTGGCCACAAAAGCAAGAAAAGCAAAGACCTGTCCTCGCATTCCCCGCGCTACCATCCGAAGGCATGCAGAGACCCTTTTTCAAGCCTGCAATGCTTTGCCTACAGAGGAACCTCGCATGGTCTGTATACATTGTATCCAACATCTTCTGCAAGTTGAACTCCTGCATTGAACAAACCAAGCCGGCAACCAGCTGCCACCTCCTGGCCCTCTCACAACAATCAATTGCTCTGCTGCATGTAGTAACATCCGGAGAGATGACCTTCACCTTCATGAAGCTCAAGAGGCCACAAGCTCTCTGCCATTGGCCATCTGCTTGCAACGTGTTCATCACACTGTTGCAGCTGCGTATGTTTGGAGCCAGGTGAAGCAGCCGCATTTCAAGCAACATGCTCAAAGCTAATTGCCAGAATCCCGTGCCCTCGCAAGATGTTAGGGCGCTATTGAAGCTAATCACGTCTGGCGAAACCTGAAGCGCAGGCATCAACCGCAGTAGGTCGACGGCAACCAACCATTGCCCGTACAGTTCGCACGAACTGATTGCACTGTTGAAGGTGATGTCGTTGGGCGAAACTCTGTGCTCGTGCATGGCCTCTAGAAGTTGCAGAGCTTGCTGCCACTCACCTTTCTTCTCGCACGCAGAAATCGCTGCACTGTAGCTGACGACATTCGGCCAAATATGTTGCGCCCTCATGCTCTCGAGAAGGACAAGAGCACGCTCCCAGCGCCCAACCTTCGTTTTTTGGGAGCTGGGGAGAGAGTTCCGAGTGTTTTTCTGTGTCTGGCTCTCGAATGCATTCAGGGCCGGGGAAGAGGGGTGAACAAGCACAAAACGATTCCGTGAACAAACACTGACACGACATGCAAAATATGTAAAAATGAAGAACTGTTACACATCAACGCAATTCCACAAGTTCAAGCAAAAGGCCAAAACGCCAAAAGGAGCTGCGTCAGACAACACGAACACTTGGACAACCGTATTATTCAACCTGAAGTTCTGGTCGAGGTGCTTTTTCACAGGCACTGATTGCGGAACTCATGCTAATAACATCGTGCTCAATTCTAGACAAGCTCATGGAGCTCACCAAATCCAACGCGAGCTGCCAGGCACCCTGGTTTTCGCAGGCGATGATGACACTGCTATAGTGAATCACATTGGTCTCTATACCGCTGCTCCGCATCACCTGAAGCACTTGCCAGGCTGTGAGGGCTCGTCCTGCTTGTCGTAGCCGCGTGAGCACATGCGTCGCCATCGCCGGTTGAGCGTGCCACTTCTTCAAGAGCGGTGAAATGGTCTCTTCCACCTTGCTGAGAGTCACATATCTTCTCAGCTTCAGCAGCAATGCGGTCTGCGTCCTTGCTCCTGAGAACGCCTTCGTGGATGCAGCTGGACCACTCAAATGATTTTGTGGACTTACGGCACCCAGTACCGCGGGCATGTCTTGTCTGCTTCCGCCGCCTCCCACCGAAGGATGCCAACATGGCGTAGCTTGGCAAAAGAACCTGAGCTCACCTCCGTCTGCTGAGAAGTGAAATCTCAGGCGGATAGGGGCGAGCCATGGAACATCGGGAGCAATGCTGCTTGAGCCACTCAGCGGCTACACTCTACAGGAATCGAAGGAGTTAGTCTGCTTCCATCAGACCTGAGGTCGCCGCGCGAGTCTGGTGAAGGCAGACATTGCTCCAACACAGCTTTGGACAGGCGGCCACTTCTCTCAGCTGGCCTGATAAAGCTCGCCACACTCTTGTCGAATTAGTCAAACTGGCGCAGCTGTCTCTTGGTGCATCTGCGAGCCGGGCCAATCAGGTCCTGGTCGGCTCAACTGGAACCAAACGTTGACGGCTGGACTTGCAGCCAACTTCTCCAATTCCTGGCTGAGCCAGCTACAACACTGCTGCCACGACCAAGCTTGCGCCTCGCGCATGAGAATCTCGGCTTGGGTGCGGCAGGCAAGAATCAGCGAGACCCCTTGGCTACCAAATCTCAAGCTACACCGGCGGAAGAAATGTGGCCGCGGAGCCGACGCTGCAGCCAAGTGTCGGGTGCCATCTCTCCATGAGAGAGCTTCAACAGCCTCAAGGCAACTTGTTGAGCTCAAGGAAGCCAAACCGGGGCACGGGATGGCATGTGCAGCATGGGGCACCAGCCCATCCTGAGGCAGGCACGACCTGCAGCAGCGGTGCCAGACCAGTGCCAGCCGCCACAAGACCCAGGTGATCAAAGCGGCCTGGCCGAAGCGGTGCACCGGCCATGATGCTGAAGCTTTCCTCGGCTTGGAAAATCACCAAGACTCTTGGGCAGATGCAACATGAAGAGCCCCCAGAACCGCCCGCTCCCGCTAAAATGCCAAGCCTCCGGTTTGACTTTCCTAGGACTCATGTCGGGTACACTCTGGGCGAAAAAGCACGATCACCAGCTCTTGCGCAAGCCGAGCTTCATCAGGGCACTTTGCCCTGGTTTGAGTCCACATAGATATGCTCCCAGACCTCCCCCAGGTCTTGGAGGATATGAGCGGACGAGCAAGTCAAAGAACCCAACCTGCACATGTGAGGGACATGCTTCTCTGAAGTCATACAATGTCATGCTTGCTTCTCGAGGCCTGTGCAGGATGCGAGATCGGCGAGTAGGACTTCTCTAAGATCGAGCCCTCGCCGTCTGCCATCTGCACTTTGACACCTGCACAGCCGCACTCAGACGGGGTGACGAGCAGATCCAAAAGAGCTGGGCCGCCTGTGGGAGCACTGCGGTCGTATCCACCCAGGGGTTTGCCACCCGGAACGGCAAAGCGTAGAAGGCATGCCTCAACAACACTCTGAATCGGCTTGCCGAACTGAGCAGCCCAAAACAAGAAGTGCCAGCATTGAAAAAAAGGCTCTGTCGGCGTCAGCTGCTTGCGCCACAATACTTCGAATCTCTGCAACGCACTGGCCATGCGAGCATGGGTTCATTCAGACCATTACGAGGATTGAAAATGCTGTGCCTTGAGAGGAGAAGCTTGACAGCTGGTGTGCGGTACAGGCATGTACATGCTTGGTAGCGGAAGCGTGCGCTTTCAGCTGCTGCTGGCAGGCTACTTCCCGCCACAACTACTTGTCTGCCCCTTGAGCTTCAGCAGCATGCAACACATATGCAACACAACATATTTGCCTACTGCAGCCTTCCGCAACATTCCTACTTTTACGGAGATGCTGGGCACGCACGTCACGAACACCTGGAAAGCGACACTTTTCTGCCCCTCCGCTCTCAGCAAGAAGGGCTCGTTTGGCTCTCTCTGCGACTAAAGCTGCACCAGCCTGAGGTTTCCGGAGCAGTTGTATGCAGTTGTATGCAACTCCTGTGTTCTGTGCAAAGCCCGGCCTGCGAAAGATGTACTCCATCCGAAACGAACAAATCTATTGGCTCCAGAACTTCCCGCAAGTTGATGAGGGGCCTTGAGGGACACAACTACGCAACTCAGCCAGGGAGGAGGGCTGCTGAAGAGTGACACAAGCTGCCACAACTCAGGCGCGGGGCATCCCCATCCTTTCTGACACCGCTTGCACAGCCTGGTGGCAGTTCTGGTTTTTCCCGACATGTGTTCTCCAGGGTGACAATTCGCACTAAGGCCAGGGCAAGTGGGAGGTCGGTCTCGGCAATGCCCACATCAATGCCCCAGGCATTGGAAGTGACCCTGCCGGGCAGCTGCACTGGTTCCAGATAGGTACACCTACGGCCCCTTCGCCTGGATAACTGTGATGTTCGCAGCAACAATCATGCAACTCCAAACTGCCTATGTATGATGTGACCATATGTGACCACAGCTTCCAAGCCTAGAGCATTCTCACGAGCCTCGGAGGCACAGCTATGAGCACCAACCGTCGGCTGCCACAGCCATCTTCGAGCTCCAATCCCCCAAGTCTGTGCAGAAGCGCCCGGTACTCCGTCTGAAACGCCTCCCAGAGCTACACCAGATCGTCATCAGCCGCAGAACATGAAGAATATTGAGGAATGACCTGCCTACGGCCGGCCTCTGCATCCCAGTGGCCCGTCCGCGCGTCGTTCGTGCCAAGCATGATAACTACCGCCTGTCATCTTGCACACCCCCCCTTATCATCAGCATCCTCGTGAAACCAAGCGGTAGAAATTGCAGAGGCAAGGTTGCAAACAAGTGACATCGGGGGGGTTCCGGTGCAATTCCGCATCCAGCCGAACTAAGCTGGAATATGCAACGCATGGCCCACCAGGCATGGGTAGTACCGACGCGCCACGGACACCGAAGTCAGTCCTTTCGAAGTTGCTGGCAACGCTCTGATAAACCGTTCGTGCTCCTGGTCTTAGGGTCTGGGGTCTAGGGCCGTTTAGGGCCGTTTAGGGCCGTTTAGGGTTTAGGGTCGTTATGAGGCCAGCCACACCACAGCCGGCACACCCGAATCCACAGTCAGCAAGTTCTGGAGCAGTGCAGGATATCCACCAGCAGTCAAGGAGTCCCCAATGCAAAGGATCGATGCCGGATTGCCTCCGTAGTGGGGTCACAGAGGCTGAGGCTGTCCGGCAGCCACTTGAGAGGGGGCCCATCTTCAATCATGGAGAGGTTGAGAAACAATCGTGCCTGAAATCTCGGTGTCCGATTGCAGTGCTACAGCTGTAGCGTGAATCGCTGATGGGACGCTAGTTTCGCGTGATGCTGCTCCTTGCCCCTTTGCCAATTTTCTTGGGACGCTGTACGCACAGCAACCAGCAACTATAGGTTTGTCCATGGCTTGCTGTGCTATACTGTGCTGATTCCAACCCTGCAGCCCTTTCTTGGTTCTTTTGCTTTGTAACCTGGAAGCTGTCATGGCTGTACTTTCGGTCCTGTTTGTGCCTGACTGCATCCGAATGCGCCTAAGACCTTCTGCTGGGCTCGTGTTCTCCTTAGCTTCCTTGCTGCTTTGTTTGGCGGAACAATCAACTGTCTGAACATAGCTCGGAGGAAGAGCCGATGAGAACATGCGCGAATCAGCTTTTCGTCTCGAAACATTTTCAAAAGAAGGTCCCTTCACACATTGCGGCACCAAGCTGCGCAACGACCGGACGCACAGCATTGCCGTCACAATTGCCTAAGCTGTTGCCAATGCACGTAGCATGCGCTGTCATGTGCTGTCCTACAACCAACCCAGAAATTAAAAACACGTTCTACCAAATCATACAGGCATCGTCGACTTTTTTCAGAAGTTGCTTGCCAGAAGCTTGGAGGCTTACCCAGCCATGCTCAGGACCCTCACCAGAAATCTTAACGTAGCGCCTGCCAGGGTCTGCAATACAAAATTTTATGGTTCTTGGTTATCTACACTCAACCACAAGCCAGGAATGCAGAGACCTGCAACATAAGTCATTTGATAAAGCTGTTTCTCTTATTCCAGCTTCACTGCGTTAGCGCAAGCATAAGCAATGAGTGAAAGCAGGTGCCTCTTTCCTCTAGTTACGAGTTCCTCTGTGCTGGTTTGTTTCCGCACGACCGCGCGCCACCGATGCAATCTAGTTCCTCTAGTTCAAGGAAGTGTTGATGCACGACAACGATCAAGCAGTCACTTTCCAAGCTGCAAATAAAGGGAAGAAGCATGTTCAAGTAAGGTTTGGCATGCAGCGGAAAAAAGGAAACATGGGCCCTGGGCAGCATGGCACTTGCAAGCATGACGATGTATGACGATGTATGAGCAACTTGGTTTGACGTGCGGCCACATTTATTCACTGTATTTCGCTGCGAGCAAAAGTTCGATGCTTTAATTTTAAAATGCCCATGGAATATCGGGAAGTGGAAGTCGTACCATGCCATACCCCAGACTTTTGTTTCCAACTGGTTTGCACAGAACCGCACAGAAACACATTCTAAGCTCAGTCGAAGAGCAAGCGCTGGTCGCTTGCGACTCCGAGCTGTTGCACGAGTGCGCCACGCATCAATCTGGAATTGAGCTTTGTGCTTGCAACGTCGCAGCCCCGTCTGACAATGATGCCTCCTTGGGCAACACCGCCAATCTCAGTCGTGCATTCTTACATCAAGAAATCTTTGCCACATCCAACGCCTTAAAAAGCGTTCTGGAATTGTAGGCCGAATGACAACTTCCCAGACATAGGTTGCCTCTGCCGATTCAATGTGTCCAACGCGCGAGATGCATGCAGTGTCGTCAGATGCCGACATGGCCAAGGCTGCTATTTGTCGGAATCTGGCGGCAACAGTATTTCGACGTTGAGCAATTAGTTTCGAGCCAGCATGCCTGCGTTTGCACACCACCAGCAATCTGCACTTTGGGTTCGTTCTCAAATCAGCTTGCCTAATTTGCACCCTCTCCACTCCTACGTATCACTCACAAGGTAACGACTGCAACATACTGCACCGCTTCATGCCAGGTGAGCCTGCATTTCTTTGCTCACTCCCCCGCAAGAATCAGAAAGCATGTTTGATGGTCCACTCATGTGCTCTTCGATTGTATTCCTGCGGGTCACACACGTACCTGCGCGGTTTGGGCACTGCCCCTGCAAAGTTTGGCAGCTGCTTGCTTGCTTAAAGCACGTGCAAACATGAGCTCCGCACAGCTTGCATGCATCTGCAACCAGCCCATCCTCGGGCACAGGTGCCGCGAGCCTTTGCTTCAAGGCAGGCGTGGCCATGTGCCGAAAAAATCCCATGCTTGCAACGCAGCTAAGCCTCTGGCAAGGATAAAAGCGCCTCGGCTTGCGTAGTTGCAATAAGCAACAGCGACGAACACTGCCGCGCCTTTCTGCGCGCCTGCACCAAACAGAAGGCCGAGATTCGTGTTGAACCAAGTTCCTGCGTCGTGGACGCTGTATCAACCATACTACGCCACACTCCGCCGAGATTCTAAATTTCGGAACAACACGAAATGCCACCACAAACCTGCCTCTGTTTCGCGTGGCTTCAAGCGCAAAAGCGACGCATCTAGATCCAAACCTTCGGAAGACAAGTCCAAGCACGACAAAACGCAAAACCAGCCCACGGGAATGTCTGTGTCTGTGACAGACTGTGCCGTTCGCATCAATGTTGCAGTGATACCTGCATCTACAGCAGTCAACTGATGAAAGCTTTATGTTTACAAGCACCAGGCGCACACTGGAGTCAAACATTTCAGACGTGGAGGCTTGGCTGGGTATTCTGTCGGGAACCTTGGAGACTTCAACAAACGCAGCGGCAGAATGTTTCGGCCTTCGTTCCATTTTCGTTCCCGAAAAACTGCAATCGAGCCAGCGCGGCCACAGCTGAAATCTGAAGATGCCGCCTTTGTACCTGGAACATGTTTGATCATGTTTGGCACTTGCTTTCCTTACAGCGTAGCACCATCCAACGATGTGGCAGGCAAGCTGCGGGCTGCCAATGGGTCCAGCCAAGGCGACCTGCAGCTTACACGTGCGAGACCACCACGATTCAAGTTTGCAGGTGGCCTCCCACTGGTACAAATCAGAATCCACCAGGTCAATCTCGCAACTGCCCTACGGGCACATCTTGGTCACATGTGCACGTCAGCAACAGGCCGTTCTCAACACGGATGCCTTGGGCAACTCGGCCTCAATCAACTTCAGGTCGGCCTAGTTGTCACTACCGCTGCATGCACTGTTCGAAATGTGCCATCGCGTTGGCCTTCAACTCTTCCATGCGCAAAGCCAACGGTGTGCCGAGAGGCCACGTTTGCCCATGGTTAAGATTTCTGTAAAAACTACAAGCACACTACAGGCTGCACGTGGGAACTTTTTCAATCATGGCCCTATGTTCCATTTGGTCATGCTGTGCTGTGATGACCCGATTCAGCATGGACAACTGGGCTGCGGCAAGGAAACTAGGCCTTTTGGCTCAAGGTGCAGCTACAAGCTGATATCAAACGAAATTCTTGGACGGTTTTTTCGCTGAACCGCGCACCCTCATGCCATGTCGGCAGCTGTGATCGGGCAACTCTTGGCAGCATGTGCCGGAGCTTACTCGGCCGCCTCCTCGGCTGTGTGGTGGGCCGCTTCCTTGCCACCGACGTGCCGGGAAAGCTTGGCTCATGCAGCCCTCACGTGCAGCGGCGCCACCCCTCGGTACTTCACCCCGGGCTTCGGGCCACTTGCGCTTGCTTGGGGCTGGTTGCTTTTGGGCGTCCTCCTTGGTTTGCTCTTTCGCCGCGCAGTGGCCACGATGGCTGCTTTGGCGGGTGGACACACGGCGGAGAGTGCCCCGTGCAGCTGGGAGGCCCTTCTGCGCGAGCTTTCGGCCCGCACACAGGACCCACACCGGCACGAGGTGCTGCATTACTTGCTGCAAGGAGGCGAAGCAGCCGCGCGCGAGTTGTCGCAAGCATCACACTGCACACCCGCAGCGCTGCTGGCTCGTCTTCTCGTCGACAGCAAACCCGTCGCCGATGCTGCAGCCCCGCGCCCCACCAATGTGCCCGCTCGCCGACGCGGCGGGGGGCAGTAGCAAGGAGCACGTTCAATGCATGCACCGGGGTGGGGCGGCGGTCAGCCGTTGTGGGTGGCGTCATCGAATGGCCGCCGCACCCTCACCATGGCAGGCGAGTTGGGGAGGCTGCGCACCCCGGGCCGCCGCCCGAAGGCGACCTGGAGCAGCGTCGACAGCGTGCGCTGCACGCGCTTGCCCAAATGCAGTTGCTGCCCTCCGCCCGTCCGGCCGCGTCGCACGACCACCACGTCTCGGATGGGGAGCCGCGCGCAGGCGACGTGGAAAGCGTTTCGGACACATTCAGCGCTACAACGCCGTTTGCTTCCCCGCCGGCGAGCCCGCCAATGTCCCCAGGCCGCCCGCACGGACCAGGAGACGCCGCCCCCACTCAGGTCGACGAGTCCACGCCCGGCTATGACACCCCGCATACGCTTGTGACGCCGCCGCGGGGGCCTGCCGCCCCCGAGTCGCGACGTTGGTTCCGAGCGTGCCCTGCCGAAGCATGGCCATCACGAGGACGGCATTCTTGGCTGTACATCCCGCTTCTACATGCCGCGGCTGGTCACCTCACCGATGCCGCCTACCGGGCATGGAGCCAAGAGGCGCGCATAGGCCAACGTTGGCTTGACGTGGTCCGCGCATTGCGCGACTCGTGGCCGGTTGACCCGCGCACCCTGGCCCGCCAAATGCATGCCGTTGCCCAACTCGACGCCAGCGAGGCGCAGGAGCAACTTTCGCCACGGGACGAAGTTCTCGTGGCCGAACTTGCCGCGTTGCCCCAAGCAGCGCCACTGAGCCTCGGGGCAGCCGTCGCCGCGTGTATGGACGACGAAGGGTACCTGTCTGCCGCAGCGCAATCGGCGTTGCTCGAAGCATTCGGGGGACTCGCCACGGCCACCGAGGCGCATGACATCGCATTGCGCATGCAAGCAGACACGCGGGCGGCCGCTGCCCCCGACGTAGCAGCGGGCAGCTTGGCACTGACCCCGGACGCCGACGACGGAGTCATGGCCGCCGCCGCGGCGAACGGCGGAAACCCAAATGGACGCGGGCGCCGAGGACGTGGTGCACGGGGGAAGGGCCGTGGACGCTGCCGCCGCGGTGACCCAGCATGCGCCGCCGCGCACGCCCAGGAGGATGATGCCGAGGCAGTCCCAGAGCCTGTGCCGGCACACCCCGCCTCGTCGCCGACACTGCGCAGCCACCTCGGCACCCTCCGCCCGCTGCAGCTCAGCGAGCTTCTTAGCCAGCGCGTATACACTCTCCAAACGCCGCCTCGCCAACTCAGAGGACTGCTGCGCACTGCTTTTCGAACGGCGTTGGAGACGTTGCGCGACGCCGCCACTATCGAAGACGAGTGTGACGGATGGAAGCTCTTCATGTTGGCGCCCCGCATGCTGTTGTTCCGTGCCCCAGGCCAATCCCGCGTGCCAACTGCGACGCCGCGAACAAGCGTTCCTGGCGGGGCACTGGCCCGAACTGCTCCGCCATGGCGCAGCCGCAGCAACACCAGCGCCGAGGGATGCGGCCCGGCCGTCCGAGGGTAATGTAGCAAACGGGGCAGAGGCCGAAGATGTCGACCTACGCCGTCGCTCCGAACGAGCTGCAGCTCTAGCCCACCTTGGTGAGCTTTCCGCGGCGGCCAAGGCGCTTACTGCTTTGCCACTCGCGCCCACAAGCCAGGAGACACTCGCTGCCTTGCGTGACCCACTCCGGCGGCCACCTGAACCTCAGATTCCCGTTGACCCAGAGCTGTGTCGCAACAGCATGAGGCCCGTCGAGTTATGCCGGGATCGGCTCATCACCAATGTCCGCAAAGCGCGGAAGGGCGCCGCTGCGGGACCGTCGGGATGCACAGGGGAGCACCTGCGCGTACTGCTGGACGATGAAGACTGCGCGCAGCTGTTAACCCATGCCGCCCGCAAACTCGCTTCCGGACAAGTGCCGGCAGCGATCATACCCGCCCTGCGCCTCGGCCGAATGGTGGCGCTATCCAAACCCACGGGCGGCGTGCGAGCTTTGGTGATGGGCGACGCCTTCCGGCGGGTGGTTGCGCGCACACTCGCACAACAGTATGGGGACGAGTTCCAGCGAGCGTGCGCTCCCTTCCAATATGCGCTCAGCACAAAGGCTGGGGCGGAAACATTACAGCGGTTGGTGCGGGCGGCCACCGAGCGTGACCCACGAACCACCGTTCTGAGCGTCGATGGCGTCGGGGCGTACGACCACATCTCGCGCCACAGCATGCTCGCAGCAATCGCGGCACGACCCGAACTGAGCGACATTCTGCCGTATGCCGCGCTGTTTTATGGCTCCCCCAGCACCTACTTGTTCTACGACGCCCAAGGCACAGCGCACGAAGTGCGCCAGGGAGAAGGTGGGGAACAGGGGGACCCCCTAATGCCAGCCCTGTTCGCATTGGGGCAGCATGCGGCGTTGACGGCAGTGCAAGCCCGCCTGCGCTCGACGGACCAACTCTTCGCCTTCCTCGACGACGTATACGTCA